CCAAGTAAACTTGTCTTTTAATTCGTTCGTTCTCCCGAATAATCATTTCTCTTAAAGATTACTCGACTTGTCGTTGGTCTGGCTGCAACAAGAATTGCCGAAAAAAGCGAGTGACAGTATGACAACAAGCAATGAGCAAAATCCTAATCCATGTGATATATTTCGTGAAGGGTGTAAAGCAATCATGTCTATACTTGTTATTCTTACCAATGATTGTGGTGAGTGAAAATGAGAAAGCTTGTTTGAATAGAATTGTCTGTTTTTTTTTCTAGAAGTCAATTGTGATCGTTTAACATCCGACGATCGATTCTTCTCCAATTTATTTCGTTTGCTTGTTACGATTGAGAAAAGTTCGTTTAATAGCGAAGATAAATTCGATGCACTCGCACTGGTTTGTGCTATTGCTCGTTGTTTTCTTGCTTCGATTCATCTATTTCTCTTCTAGACATTGAATTTGTTAATCAATCTTGTACAGAACACTAAACATATCTATAAACGTCTCATGGAAGACAATATGCCTGGTAATAATTCTTTAAAAATCTATGAATACCTCGCGAAAGTAAGACAACTTAGTTTTTCTTTCAAAGAAAAGGCAAAATTTTGATTTTAGTTGTTCTGTGAGCAAGAATCGTCGGCTGCACGAGCTGAATCTCACGAAGAAAATGACTGGATGATGGAAGATGTCAATGATGATGATTTTGATGAAGATTCAGACAAGAAGCCAACAAATGAAAATGGCGCCAATTTCAATCGAGCATTACAAAAAGCTGCTGGACATATGGAGAATACGTTCGTTGCTGCATTTACAGGTGTTATTCTCGCAGTTATTCTACTACGAGATCGAACAGCATACATTTCTCAAATACGCGAATTGATGCCACAGAAAAAATTCGATACGATGGCGTTTATACTCAAGAAATTCTTTGTATTTATGCACATGTCCGTATGTAGACTACTTGATTTAGAGGATTTTCTGAATGACTAATATATTAATTTGGTTTTTAGCATGCGTTTACACCGTCGGGTGTAAAGATTCTCGAAGAACTGATTTCAATGGTATTAACGTTATGCGGATAAATCAGATAATTGATTTTGTTTTGTTAGTGTGTATGAGTGTACATTTGACTTTTGTTGTTTCGTATTTTAATCGAATTTTGTATGAAAAACGGACGTATTCATAATGAATAAGATATTCAATGACCTGTTCGTGGTCATAATCAATAGCGTTTCTGCTAATATAGATGATTTGCTAGCAATTAACATTTTCTTTCGAATAAATTACAGAAGTTTTAATGCTAAAATAGTAGTTGCCTAGAATTATGCTGAGCGGATTAATTAGAATATGTTTTGTGACACATGCATTTCTAGTCGTAGCGTGACCAAGATACGATCAGGAGAGACTCAAGTATACTAACTAAGTTTCAACGCTCATAAACGAAAATTTAAGATCCATGAAATGTAATAAATCGACGACCGTCCTGGTGCAGTCCTTTCCCTACTCAAACTAAGACTATCTTTCGATTTCAACTATCAACAGGAGTAGCATCTTCTTAACAGGGAAACTATCGAATATATAAATTGTATCAACACTTTTCAGTGATAAAAAATATCATAATTATACCACTACCGTAGATGACATATGAAAAGTAGATCCCGGAAAATGAAACTGAGCAGATAATGTTCAGTTGACTAATATTTCTTTAATCGCTGTTGAACGCGAAATTAAGTTGAGTTACGAGAAACTTACTGATATTGTTTTTGGATTGCCTACAGGGATAAAATTTCTCTCGCCTACCTATCGTACGATTTCTAGATGTCAAAATCCAATTCATTCATTTCTAAATATCTAACATATTAGATGTTTTTTTGCGATGTAATGATATATATGCGTGATGGTAATGGCAACAAAGTTGTTATAAATAGTTCAATTGATCTTGGAGTATCGCAAAATGTAAGAAGAATAGCAGAAACACAAGGAGGTTGATAGTTTTGATTGAATTATCCATGGTCGAATGATTAAGAAAGCATTGCAAGTGAAAAAATATGGATAAAGATGGCCGTGGTTCGATAGAACTATAAGTTTCAATGAGTTTACTGACTGTGATTGAATTAGAAGCTTATGCATAGTGGTTCGTACTGTGACACAGATCAACTTAAATTTAGTAGCAAATCTACATTACTAGCTTTTAATAAGAATCTGAAATAGAATGTAAGCGTACACTTTCTTTTCAAAATCAAAATATACAAAAGTATACAAGCGTAAAAAGTAATCGTACATGTTCCTTGTCAAATGGATACATGCATAAGGATATCGAAATTTCGTATGAATTCAAAGCAGTATAGAATAATATGTATGTTGGATTCCACCAGGGCTCTGTACACACTGTGTACAGATACATTCATTTATTTGAGGTTATAGGTGTGTTATGTCAATATAAAGTTGAAATTTGAAAATCTTTTTTGACAAATTGGTTGATCCACAATATGAATTTGTTCGTTTGATATACGACAAAATTTGTTTTCTAAATTGGACTTCGAAGAGTGGGAAAATGTATATCTTCACATTATTTGTACTACTCGTTGGCTCAGATTGTTTCAATCAAGAATTAGAAAACACGATGAGGTGTTATATCACCTCGTGCGTCATACAAAAATTTTCAAGAACATGTCATAAGTGCTAAATATCGAATGCCTGAAGGAGGGTTCGGACGAACCTTTCAGCGCAAAAATGGTTTGACAACAAACGAATCGAACTGAATTGTATTACTCTCTCGGATGGCTTTGTAGAAATGTTGACCACAGTTTGAGATGAATCTTGATGGATGACTCCTTCACTGAGTTCTTCAAATTCTCAAAGCAAGAAGTTTTTATGCGATCTCTGAGAAGACCAGTAAGAAAGTTCGATGATTATTAGGATGAGATGTCAATCATAAAACAAAGTTGTTTAATAAGAAATAGATTGATTACATGCATTAAATTAATAATTATTAAACAAATCACAAGAAACTTCCGTGATCTCGTTCGTAATAGTATTGCACGAAGAGAATGATAGAGGAAAATCAATGTCACAAAAATAGATAGAACAAGGAGGATTATAAGAACGACGAACATAAGTGTTGACACCATAGTAGTTGAAAAGAACGTGTAGAGGAAACGACAAGTTAGTTGTAGACTTATATATAAGCTTCCAGTTCATTTCTTGCGGGATATTTGAAATCTAGTAGCACTATTTAAATAAATGACGTCAATCCAGAATGGTATCGATATAAAAGTTGATGTTTGATATTAACAGATTAAATGTAATTAGAAATATTTCCTATGTCGGAAACTGTGACATGTGATTATTTCATTGAGAATAATTCTTCGTAATAAGATGAAGTGTTCTAAACATAAGATTGACATTCAAAATATCGCTGAAACTGTTCTTTTCAGTTATTGATGATGACAAGTTGAACACGACGCTCTTCTTCGTGAAGTTTCGTAGTTAATTGACTTCTATTTCACAACAAAACAACACTCAATGTATAGTCTTCAACTTGCAGATATGTTGAAATTAAAATAAATTTCTCATTCTTTTCACATAAATTGATAAAGCAAAGAAATCACAGGTGCAAACAATGTATTTCTTGGCATACAATAGTTGGACTGATATTTGAGCACTTAGCAACTTTGGTAAAACTGTTCTATTTTATTAGATTTAAGTGTTTTTTGATAGATATCCTCACGAACTTTTCCGACCATGTGACAAAATTCTCAGATTCTATAGTTATGTCTTTGGAAATTCAAATGAACTTGCATAATTGAAATAAATTAAAGAAAATTTAATAACATAACATTAAATATATCCGAAAGGATAGACAACTATTTATAGATTTGTTTGCAATATCTTATCACCGCAAGCTCAAGGAAACATCTATGAATTTAATATATACTAAAATCTACGAATATACGAACAATGAGAATTCTATTGGTACTCATCAATAACTGCAATGGATATCATGTCCAGTTTAATCGATAGAAATTCGGTTTTCCTCTGGTTTCGTGTGTCGAAGAACAGTACGTATAGTACATATGATAGTATATCTGTCAAAACAAAAACATACTGTGTTTTTTTATCACAACGAGATAATCCTACAAGGATAAATCGCTTATTTATAGCGATTGCCTTATAGATTTACAGAAAAATATCCGAGAAAAAGTCTCTTATACATATTGATATCTGTTAAAGAATGATATCAAAGGTCTTTTCATATCATTTATCAAAGTAATCGACAATAAAAACGTACATTGAATTCATTTTCTTCTTTGTCTCTCTTTTCATCGATATTGACTATTAAGAACTGATCGGCATGTTCTCGAAATTATGAAACACTTCTCATCATTTACTGTGAACATTGATCATTACTTTCCCAAAGAGAAATAGTTGACATTTATGGACATTCTTTTTCAACTTAATCAATGAGTCTTTTGTCGATCAATGTCACAAACCAATTCTTGTTTCCTCTCCCACACCAATTGTCACCTGTTGTTATGATTATTCTGTCCGATTTACAACAGCGATTCGCCTAAGTTTATGTCTATATATCATTCTGTCACTTTTCTCCTCTCTTCATTGTCAAGCATTTGCTCTCGTAAATACTTAATCAATAGTCATATGTCATCTCGAATTCGAATGTTTTCAATGCAATCAACGATGGTTACATTCGATTCTGTAATACTCATCTTTGACAGAAATTGGCATTTATCATTTTGTTTCGTCGATCTCTAATCCTTCGATGGATGATTGTGTCATCATTTAAAGCATGGAGAATAGAAGAGAAAGAAGAAGGAGAAAAGCCGTACACTAAGAAACTCAGCTAGAAATCTTTTCCTTCTTCTTCTTTTTCTTCTTCTCCGTCTTCTTTTTTCTTAAGCCGACTAGTTACATTTACTCTACGTTCTTCATCTTCTACTTGTCAAATATATGCGCATGATTTTATTTCTATTTCAAACGTGTTCTAATGAGAAAAGGTAAATTGCAAACACAGAAGGACTTTCTTCGCTTTTTTTTTCTATATAGAAAACTAATCTTCGAGAACTTTAAGGTTAAGTTTGCTTGATAACAGCATTGATTGCTTCGATTTCTTCTTTCCCCTACTGAATTCATCTGAAATGTTTTTGATCTATCATTACTGACGTTCTAATCAGTCTTGTTTTCCAAGTGTTAATGCAATGGCATTGACTGTCTGATTTGTCCTTTCAGTTGTATTTTGCAGTGATATTTTCCGATGATATTATTCGGAAATGAAAAAAAGGACAAGAGATCTCGCGGGTGTACATACAGCATCGCTCGTTTTCTTCTCCTTCGTTAACCGTTGCTCTCATTATTCTCATCAATGAAATAATAACATACGCGCTGTTTTTCGCTCATGCATACATAGGCGGATGTGCGTGTTTTCTCCAATGTCTCAATGATAAGTCCTCTTATTCTATTTGGACAAGAACATAGNTAATACAACAGATGCTGGTAATGGTGTTCTGTCAGTTCGAATCAAACAGAATGGGGATATTCGACCACACGAACAAACAAGAATTTCGAAGCATGTGTATGAAATTTCATTTGTACCCGACACAACCGAAGAATGTACCGTACAAATCGCGTACAACGGAGAAACTAATTGTAAGTTATTTGATGGGTATAACTTGATAAACTGTGAAATTTTATTTTAGCCCAAACATTGACAGTCCCTGTTAAAATGGATAGCGAACAAGTGCGTGTTTCAACGATACCGTCGGGTATCGTTGGTCAACCGATCACATTCACAGGTAAAATTTCCGATTGATTTTCGATTGAACAAACGATTTCATTGTAGTCGATGTGGCTGATGTGAATCTTCTTACAATTCTCGTCACAGAAACTCACTCCGGTCGTGTTGTGACCCATAGTCTGACATCCAGATCAAATGATAAGAGACACTACGAAGCTTCATTTGTGCCGACGATTCCGCGCCAACACACCGTAGCCGTTACCTACGAGGAGAAATTGATCTCTACACATCATGTTGATGTCTGTAATGTAAATAGAATTCGTGTTAGTTCAATTAGCGATGGATTCATCGGCGTTCCGTCAGTGTTTTCTGTGGACACACATGGCGCTGGTGAAGGACATTTGGAAGTGACAATTAGTGACGGACGACGAACATTGCCAGCGGAATTGAAGAGTGTTCAAGCAAGAAAATTCGACATTGCGTTTGTGCCTGAAAGTGGAGGAACACATTCGATTGCTATTGCCTTCAATGGAATTCCGATCGAAGGAAGTCCGTTTACGATGAATATTCAGGACAAGTCACCTAGCGACGACAGTATTTCGGAAGCGAGAGATGATGATGGGGAAGAAGACAACTATGAAGAAGATGGAGAGGAAAATGGTGATCATGAATTTCTTATCGGTGGTCAATTAGAAGGAACAAAAGTGGGTGAGGTAGCGTGGCTAATCTGTGAGTCGACTCTAACGGATACCTACGAAGATTTCAATCTATTCGTTCTCGGTACGTTTGATGAGACGGGAAAAGATCGGTTTTCAACAAAGAGTTGTATTTTAGATCCCGACGAAATTATGATTAAACACACACGAATACAAGACTCGGGTGGTCGTTGGCGTATTGAATTCGAACCAGTTAAAGCAGGCAGCTATTCTATACAAACAGATGTTGATGATTCTCAACTAGTTCTTGCTTCAATGGATATTTTACCATTGGAATATGAACGAAATGTCTATGGTGAACGTATTGTTCATCCAAATGTTGCTAATTTCATTTCGATTAATTGTAAAAATGATGATATGAAAGTTAAACTACGATGTAAGATTATCTCATCTCGATTCTTATCGGTTCATATATCGTTGATCTAGGTTCGAATGGTGATGAATTTCCGATTGAAATTGAAAAGGATTCAACAGAATGGAAAATCTACTTCACATTAACTGAAATCGGTTAGTATTAACTATGATGATTTATGATTGAATTCGATTGAATCTCTTTAGATTATTATCAATTAAGTGTGACCAATGATAGTAATGAACAATTATTTGATATTCATTGTGTAGCTGAAGAGATCGATGTCTTACGAAACGGAGGTGTGGAAGATATTACACGGATTATTGTCGATCAAAGTAAAATCATAGCTGATGACGTGAATGTGATCGTTAAAGGTAAACTGATCGTAAATCAAATTTTGCGATGTACGAGGTTCATGACGTCTCTTTAGATCCATTGGCACACACGATTCCAGCGGCATTCTATCGAAATTTGAATCGAGATCTCGTTATTGAATATATACCTGTTCGAACCGGTGAGCGATGAGTTTGTTGATTGCTAACAACGGTGAAAAACTTGAAATGTTTTCTGTTATTTAGACGTGCATGAAGTGTTCATCCGTACGCAAAATAATCTTTTCGATATTTGTCCTATTCGTGTGATGGCATTTCGTGCGAAGAATACGTTCGATCCGGTTCTTCGCGTTCAGGTGAAAGAACTTCTCGAACACACGTTTCACGGTGTTATTGACAACGATAATAAACTAGAAATTAGTATCACTGGTATGAAAGCACTTTTCAAAACATAAATAAGTGATTTGTATCTCTGTAGATCCATTCGATAAACCAATACCATTCCAACATTCGAAGAATGAAAATGGCGAATTGAAAATCTCTCTCTCGCCAGTTCGCGTCGGTAAGTGAAATTCCCTTTCGCTCACCAAAATCACCAATCCTTTGTTTCACATGACTCCAGGAACTCATTGGATACGCATTACAAATGATGAAAGTGATAGTTTCGCTCTACTGCCTATCTTTGCTTTCGATGATGATTATGTTCCGTTATCACCTGTGGCTACGCCCTCACCGAATGATAAATTCGTACTAAATCAAAATTCAAATAATAATAATACGACAGATTCGTTTTCTCTCGTGCGAGAATTAGCAGCTATTCATGAAGTAACCGAAAATTCATCCTCAATTTCGGCACCACAAACGCAGCGTCAAGCATCTCCAGATAAAGAAAATACTTCTCAAGTTGTACCGAACGGCCGTGAAGATTCACCTATTTCACTTGAGGAACCATCGACGAAAGTAGAAGTACTCGATATGGCTGATTTAATCGATCCGGGCGTCCGTATTACATCAAAATTCTCATTGAAAGATCCAAATGATGAATTTAAAGTTCAAATCTGCGGTAAACTACAAACCATTCGATTTTAAACTAAATATTTCTCCTTCTGCTCGATCATTTTCTAGACGCCAATGATGAAAATATACCTTGTAAAGCTGAAAATCTACCCGATGGACGAAAATACATATCGTACGAACCGCTCGTTGTTGGTATGTCCAGTTTATTATCTTTGTAGAAGATTTTCATGATTTATTTCTTTAGGACCCGTCAAAATTCATATATCGAAAGGAACGGAGCCTCTGATCGGTAGTCCATTGCTTGTACATGCATTCGATCCATCATCAATCCAAATAGTGAATTTTCCAACGAAAATATATCAAAACACTATGAATTCTTTTCTTATTGATCCCACACTGGCTGGAAAAGGATCGTTAAAAATTATCATTAAAGGTTTGTTGATTAGTATTTACAATACACGAGTTATCCACTTGCATTTTTAGATCCAAGCAATCGATCTTTACCTATTACTGTTCAGAAACAATCAAATCATCAAATTGTCGTTCAATTTGAACCGATTGTTTCGGGTATTTTGAAGAACAGGAATGATTTCTTTCTTTCTTTCAACCGTTCACATTTCCATTCACAGGTTTACATTCAATATCTATTTTATTCAATAGAATATCCATCCTTGACACGACGTTTGAAGTACTCGCTGAAAATATTGAAGAGCGTAAGAATTTTCCTACCGAGTTTTCTCAATTCTATTTTCAATTTTTTAAGCATCGGCAGGAAAAATTGCGCGTTTATCTGAAATTGAACAACGTGGCCGTTCGATTTTCTCCAAACATGAATTGCTCATACTTGCGCAGCAACAAGAAAAGACTCACGCGATTCAATCTTTTGCATCGAAATCTACCGAAACCATCGTGCCACCGAAAGAAACCATCGTTATTGAAGAACGTCCTCAAACATCGACCAAAGTCGATGATATACATCAAGCAAAGTCACAAACAATACAATTGACCGATGCCGAAATACGACGATTTCACCTATTAAAAGAAAAATTCGAACGAGGAGAGCCAATTGATATTGTGTTCGGTAAGCAGACAATCTCCTTTCATATAGAAACACACAAATAAGGTAACTTTCTCTGCCTGACAGATCCACGACGATATCCATTCAAAATCATTCTACAACGTGCATATCCAGTTGTTAATGATGATATACATCTCATAAGTAAACAGAATTTTTCCTCCTAATAAATTTCACATCTATTTATTCGAATAACTAGTCGATCTTCCACATGTTGTGTACGTCAATATCGTAAAAGACACAATGAAAATACCATTGCAAGCTGCACGTAGAAATGATGATAAATTTCTACTAAAATTTCGTCCAACATTCGAAGGTGATTATTTGATTATACTAAAAAACTACATGGGACAACCTATGCTAGGTAAGATAAATGCATTCTCGAAAACAAAATCATTGCTTGCTTGCCTTTCCAGATTGTCCATATGTGTTTCCCGTTTATAATCCTGATGCTGTTCAACTTGAACCGTTCAATCATTTTCAACCTATTAACAAATGTCATTTTATCTGTAAGTCAATACAGACTTTCTCTTTTATCGAATGTATCACACATCTCCTCGTTAATCTTAGGTAATATTGATAACGTTGATCAAGGAAAATTCTTTATCATGGTATTTGATCCATTGAAACCACTGAAAATACCGTATAAGCTTCACTTATTATCAGCTAATCGAATTCTTATCACTATCGTACCATCGAAAGTGGGCATGTATCGAATTTATCTGGCGTATAAAAACATTCCGATTAACGGTAAGACGAAAGATTTATTGTGTATGTTTATCTACAGATGCACACGAGAAAAAATCCACACATCAATAGAAATGCTGAAGGAAAAAAGGGAAATGTGTAGCCAAAACAGATTGAATAGGACTTGGTGTAAATGGTAAAACATTTGCGGTTGGGATTGATCTCATCGGCGTGCGCGAATGTAGATCTTCAAATGATGTTTCATGGATAGATTTCGAATATGTCTCATCATTTTCCATCTCATTTTCGCTGGTGCTCGTTTTTGTTACCAGACGTTTTCGACAACGTGATCGCTTATTTTGAAACCAAACCTAAATCACAAGACTTTCGTTGTGTATGTCTCTATTTCTTCAAGACACTCACTTGTACACGTGCTTCACTTGTACCGATTTCATTTGATAATTGTTCTCGACGATGAATATCCGGATATTGTTCTTGCAGGAAGGCATGTTCGAGTATTTGAATCGATCGATCGTCAAAATATGTTCGTGCACGACGAGCACGATTTTTCGGCGGTGGACAGAGAAGAACGCTTGATTGTTCTGTTGAACTAGAACCGGTGTCTTGAGAGAGCAATCGTTTAACTGAATAATCATATGGACTCTGTTGTTGCCGTTGCTTTTCTGCTGACATCGTTTTCATTTAATTCTGTTGTGATCTATTCGAATATGACCATTATATAGGGAAACAAGATTCGTTAGAAATGTCTTGACAACCAATGATTTCTCACCTTTCTTCTCCTTCTCTCTCTCCTCTTATCTAGCTGTGTCTGATTTGTCATCTTTATCAATTAATGACGATTCCGTCATTGTTTTGAAGATACGACAATCAGCTTAGAAACGATGTTTATTCTTTAACTTCGAATGAGAATTTGTCTATCGTATTTTCTAAACAGAAACAAATTGGTATACGATTGTCCCTTTTGATCATTTCGAAACAAATGAATTGATCAATAATCAAAAATATACGTCTTCATTTTTTCTTCTAGGTACGCCATTTGATCTGAACGTTTACGATGTTCAAGCAATATCTGTTGCTGCTGAGCACAGTGAGCCAGTTGTTGTTAGAACTACTGTGGCATACAAAGGTATTTGCGATGATTTACATCGAATCTTGTAAGTTCCGATCGTAAAATGTCTTTTGTAGTCAATACGAGTCAAGCTGGTCAAGGACAATTGAAAGCAGAACTGATAAAACCTGAAACATCGACAATTTCATGTCGATGCCATGTGCATGAACTGAAAAATCATGAGTATCTCATTCAATACATCCCTAGTGAACCTGGCCGATATCAACTGCGGTTATTATTCAATAATCAATTGATACAAGGGAAAACAATTGACACCGATGTCTATTCATTGTTACCACCGCCGATTCCTCCATCGACACTATCAGCATATCCACTCGTTCATATACATAAAATCGCACCGAATGATATTCCTCGTGTTGGAGATGATATTTCTCTTGAAAGTATGAGTTCTTATCGAAGCAAGTTCATTGGGAATCTCTTCGATTCATTTTTAGTTATTACTGAAAAATCCGATATACGCGGTCAAATTTCATGCAATGATATTCCTATTCCATGTAAACTTGTGCAAACCAAAGACACACATATATGGCATCTCAAATTTCGTCCGTATGTCGTTGGTACACATAAGATACATCTTCTCCACAATGGAACATCGATTATGAGTAGGAAAATGATTGAATTCGAAATCATTTCAACGTAATGATCTTTTCAGGTGCACCATATCTAATTCAAGTGAAAGATTCGAGTGATAAACATCTTCTTTCCGGTTTAACGAATACGCCTTGCGTGATACAAAGTAGGTCTTTTTGAAAAGATAAGATGATCATCTCATAAAATGCTTTCAGTTCATACGAAATCAACATCAAACTCGCAGATTCGAGCGGTAGTTCTGCTTGATACTGTTGAGATTCCATCGACCATGACAGTTATCAATGATAATCTTATTCGGATAAATTTCACACCGAAAGAGCCAGGTTTCTATTTAGTGAACATTTCTAATCGTGACAAACCTATCACTGGTATGGGAACGATCAAATAGATAGTGGCATATTATCGTATGCGTTTATTTAGGGTCGCCGTTTTCTATACGTATTGAGCGATCGGACGTAGTCCAAGTCACTGGTAAATGTTTCCATCGTTTACGTTTGAACGATCTGGGTATCTTTCGTATTCACTGTCATGGCCAACGTGGATCAATCAAAGCGAAAGTTTATAGTGAGTTGATTGCTAAGGATTAGTCATGTCACAAATTCTTTTCTCCGTTCGATTTAGATCTTTCAACAGGCAATCGTACTGACTTAGGACAAGTGATTTCATTTCAATTGCTGGAACCCTACGAACAATTATTACAATTTCCAACACAGATCTTTGTCACATCGTTAACAATACTTCTCACCGCTCGGTTAAGATTGACACAAGATCGCATTCGAAACTTGACGCTGCAGGAAGAAAACGGTTGGTATTCGGTGTTGATCAGAGATAATGAGAGATCAAAATTCGAATTTCCGTTTAGGACATGCAACAGTAATGTTTCAGCTATTTGAGATTCCGACCCCACAGATGCCAACGAATGAACAAATCATCAATGCCTTACGGGGTTTGATTGATAAACAGATTCTTAACTTATTCGATCCGAATCGACGATTATTGCATGCGATATGCGGATCATTAATTGTTGGTGCGTATAGTCACATTCAGTTGTACCGTATTGTTTTCTAATCTCTCCTATCAATGAATAGGTCCAAAAGGTGAAGCGGTAAGTGTTAAACTATTTCCACAAGCTAATGGTGATTATATGGGTGAATTCACACCAAAAAAAGTTGGTAAGTATCGAAAGACTCTTGAAAAATACGAGAGATTCATCATACTGTTTTAGGTCAACATCGGATCGATATTGTCTTTGGTAACGTGCCGATTCAGGGCAGTCCACTATTTACAGAAGTATACGATCCATCACAAGTACGGTTTAGTGTGATACCGAAAGACATCTTTGTCGGAGTTGAAACTACATTGGAAGTCAACATGGATAATGCTGGAAGTGTACCACTTGAAGTGACAATATTTTCGCCATCGGGTGCAAGTCGTAAGCTTCATTTGATTGATCAGAGCTTGTATAAATACGAATCTGACTTTCTTAGTTCCGTGTGAGATTGACGATACTACAAAAGTTACGAAAGTGCGTTTCACACCGACAGAACCTGGTATACATACTTTAAATGCGAAATTTGGTTCAGACCCGATACCAGGTATGATATATCTACGAAAATTTGCTAATTTCATTCTTATCAATCAAAGGTGTACCAATGAAAATATCTGTGCATAACACTCATATGATTACTGCGTATGGTGATGGAATACATCACGCTATTCAGGAAAAAGAAACAACATTTATGATAAATACAAATGAAATGCAAGGTGATCTACAAGTTTACATGGAAGGTAAAAACGACAAACGAAGTATTTCTGAATAAAATATATATTCTTCGGTCGAAATTAGGTCCTAATTCAATTATTCATCCAACAGTTGATCGAATTAGTAACAACTTAATTAAAATACTCTATCAACCAGTGGAAGTGGGTTTTCTTAATATAAATATCAAATGGAATGGAAAACATATTGTCAACAGTCCGTTCAAAGCGCTTGTAACCAATCCAGGTTGAGACAAATTTGCATAGAAAGGATCTCATACTAGCTCTATTTCTTCATAGATCGCATCCGAATTGTGGGCGGATGGCAAGCGTTATTCGATCAACAGAATTGTATGCGTGTGATTACAAACGAAGAGAAAAAGATTTGTTTCGATACATCTCAAGCTGGCCCGGGTAAAATCGTTTTTTTTGTTTTCTAAACGTAATCCTATTTGTATCAATTTGCTTTTTGTAGGTATTTTGAAAGCAGACGTTCGAAGTGCTGATAGTACTTGTATACCATTGCGTATTGATCAGCAAGGTACATTGTCGACTCTGACGTTTACGGCTCGACGCGATGGGGAATACGATATGTCGATAACACATGCCGGTCGATTGTTACCAAAGATGCCTATACGTATCGTTGCGACAACAGCGAGCTCTGAACCGTTACGAGTAGGAATTTATGGTCGTGGTTCGTACGAAGCACGAGTTAATGAAGAAGTGGAGTTTTTCATCGATGCTTCACGAGCACCAGTTCAGAATTCCAACCAACTAAATGTTCGATTGAGTGGAAAACAAGCTGACATAGACGTTCGAATTCGACAAATTGAAAAGAATCGAAACATATTCATATGTTCCTATAAAGCAACAATACCAGGTATAGTTTTCATAACTACACATCAGTATGTGTTCTGTATCGCATATTTTCAGGTATCTATCTACTGAACATTCTATGGGCAGATCGACAAATCCGTGGATCGCCATTCAAAGTCAATGTCCTGCCGAATGCTATAATTAATCACTCGTCATCACAAGTCATCTGTTCAGGTGATGGTTTACGAGCGGGCATAGTAGGAAAAGAAACGAAATGTACTATTGATACACGAACAACAGATCTTGGTGAATTAACCGTCTATTGTCAAGGAATGAATAAGAAAGCTAATTGTCGATTGTTCGATCACCGTGATGGTACATTTTCTTTGTACATTAAACCTGAAGAAACTGGAAAACATCTATTAACTATTAAATACGATGGAATACATGTGCCAGGTAGTCCGTATACAATTAAAGTGAGCGGTCCACTCGATGCTAGTATGTATTCGAAAATTTTGTGAATGTAAAGCAAAAACAACGATCGACTTGTTTAGATAAAGTACGTGTTTACGGTCCAGGTATAGAACACGGAGTACTGACAACATTTCAATCGCATTTTATCTGTGAAACAAAAGGAGCAGGTAATGAAAATCGTTCCGTTGTTTTGCTCTCATCAATGAAAGTCTGTTCACTAGGTGCCGGACAGCTGACAGTTAAAGTTCGAGGTCCCAAAGGTGCCTTTCGTGTTGAAATGCAACGTGAACATTTACAAGATCGTACGATTGTTTGTCGGTATAATCCAACTGAAGCTGGTGATTACATTGTGTCGGTCAAATGGAGTGGTGAACACGTATTTGGTTCACCATTTCACATACATATATTTCAAAGTCAGGAAGAATTTGATCTTTGTCGCCAAGAACTGATTGAATACCGTTGTGATGACCAGCAGCGAACTGAAAAACCGTCATAGGAAATGTTTCTTTAAGTGTGTGTGCGTGTATTTTTCTTCTATTATTTCGAATGATTTCCGTTTTTCGTTTCTGTAAACAAATTTTTTAGCAATACTATTACTCGTTGTTTTACACACTAAAACCTTTCCACTCTGCACGGAAAATATTCTCTTTGTTCAGTTTCAATGCGACATCTTTTCTTGTTGTCTTTAACTTGTGTTCCTGTCTGAGCAATAACACCACAAGGTTTCGTTTAGTATACATCTTGTTACAAGAGTCCGAAGATTACAAGTAATTTCGTATACTCACGTGCTAGACATGTCGACAAAAGCGAGTATGAATGAAACACCGTTGGGGCAGATTGAAACTATTTTGAAAGATCTTCGTACTTCGTTCAAATCCGGTAAAACCAAACCGTTATCATGGCGTAAGAAGCAAATCGAACAATTATACAAAATGTGTGATGAACAAAGAGAACTTTTTGCTTCGGCAGCAAACACAGACTTTGCTCGGCCAATTACAGAAACATATCTGTACGATTGTGGTGTCGTAAGTAGTTTCAATCAAACAAGTTTATTACTATTTTGCTTTTGAAAAAAGATCCGTAATGAATGTATTCATGCTCTTAATCATCTCGACGAGTGGGCAAAAGATGAATATCGTTCAGACTCATTAGCATATGCAACGATGAGTAAATACGTTCATCCTGAACCGTACGGTACTTGTTTGATCATCGGTGCATGGAATTATCCATTCAATTTAACATTATTACCGTTACTCGGTGCTATCGCTGCGGGAAATTGTGCCATTGTGAAACCGTCGGAATTAGCACCACATTCTGCATCTGTCTTAACAACGATGATTGGCCGATATCTTGACTCATCTTGTATTCGTGTTGTTCTCGGTGCTATCGACCAAACCCATGCATTGCTAAAAGGAGATATTGATCATGTGTTTTATACGGGTTCGACAGCGGTCGGCAAGATTGTTGCGAAAACAGTGGCTGAGAAAATGATTCCTGTCGTATTAGAATGTGGTGGTAAAAGTCCAGTTTATGTTGCTGATGATGCAAATATAGCAGTGACAGCGAAACGTCTTGCATGGGGAAAAACCGTCAATTGTGGTCAAACTTGGTATATCGAATTCTAGTTTACAATGATTTTCTACTATGAAAATTTCTTTTTTTAGTTTGGCACCAGATTATCTTCTGTGTTCTAAAGCCACCGAGAGTCGTCTAATACCAGAAATTATCCGTGCATGGCGAACATTCTATACTGATAATCCAGTCAATTCAGATTCTTACTGTCATATTGTTAACGGACGGCATTTCGAACGCTTGAAGAAACTTATCGACACAAGCAAAGTTATCTACGGTGGAGAAGCAGATGCCAATCGAAACTATATCTCACCGACCATCATGTACGTAAACAGATCTATTCGATTGATTCTCCATAAAAGGAGTTTCGTTTATTCTTATAGGACCAATGTCGATGAAAACGATAAAGTAATGCAAGAGGAAATCTTTGGGCCTCTTCTTCCGATTGTTACGGTGCAAAATGAACATGAAGCAATTGAATTTATCAATGCTCGTTCTAAACCATTAGCACTATATATATTTACATCGAACAACAACTTAGCTAAAACGATTATCAATTCAACCAGTTCAGGTTCCACTTGTGTTAACGATGTCATCTTTCAAATTGCACCACCATCACTACCATTTGGTGGCGTAGGTGACAGTGGCTTGGGAAGTTATCATGGTAAATATTCATTTGACACATTTAGTCACCATCGCTCGGTGGTGTATTCAGCAACATGGTCAGAACCTATTCTTTCCAAACGAAATCCACCGTACACAAAGCAAAAGACAGCTTTTATGGAATCATTGGTTAAAGCTCGTCGAAATTGGGTTCCATTACCGCGAATTGGTGGATTTTGGTTTTGGGCATTTGCTGCTCTAGCTACCGCTGTGATTACTCGCGTTCTCGTTCGTGGCTTTCGAGATGACAAATGGGAATTTTGAAAACTATTTTTAACTTAATGATTTCTGAGAGAATTCGTGAATAAATGAAAAATTTCTCCGTATTTTTTGCATTTTGTAATCAAAACTCGTCAAAGATTTCATATCTCTATCATCATAGTGCCTTGTTGCCATTTGAGTTCTTTCTGTTCTTTGCTTTACGATAGTGTATCACTTGGTCTGTTGAATCAACAAAAGAGGCGTGTACTTTGTTCTCTAAAGTGCTACGGGGACATATGAAATGGAAAGTGTTGAATGACATTGTCAATATAAGTAGAGCATAAGCCCATTCGTCTAGTTTATGTGAATCCATTAGACTGAGTGAAACAAAATTTTTATTTCATTGAAGATTATATTCAAAAATCACAGTATGGCATCGTCAGCTGCAAACCACGAATCTGAATTTGATTTTGCCGAATTATATACAAAAGATAAAACATTGCAACTACGTAGTATTTACGTTCCGTAAGTCGATATTTTCTTTGCTATTTGCTCGAATCGGATTTGATTCATATCAATAGAAATTGTACTGAACTTTTCTATCGTCACGACCCGTTGAAAATCGTCCGCTGTCAAGGAACGTACATGTACGATCAATTAGGACAAAGATATCTTGATTGTATCAATAATGTTGCGCATGGTAAGTATTCATTCTGTTAATCAGTTTATTGCTCATGACATTTTTCAGTTGGTCATTGTCATCCGTATGTGAATAAACAAATCTATAGACAAATGGGTGCTTGTGCAACGAATAATCGTTATTTACATGATAATACAGTCATCCTCGCAGAGAAACTAGCGAAAACATTACCCGAAGATCTTACTCAAATCTTTTACACTAACTCAGCGTAAGATTTACGACATTTCGGAGAGTTCATAGAATCGATCTTTTTGTCTTTAGATCCGAAGCAAATGATTTAGCAATTCGTTTGGCGAGACAATACACCGGAAATTATGATATTCTTGCGTTGGACAAGTACGTTCAAAGGAAACGTTTTCTTAGTAGAAAGAACGAAGAAAGTCTGTTGTTTTTAGTGCTTATCATGGTCATCTATCAAGCCTGGTTGAACTATCCACGTACGAGTTCAAAAAGTTCAAAACACCAGTGAAAATTCCTGACCATGTGCATATTGTAAGTGAGAAATTCGTCAGCGTTTGTTGAATTTCACTGTTCGTTGTTGTAAGCTCCCAACACCCGATGTTTACCGTGGAAAATATCGCGATATTGATTATAACAATGACGAAGCCAAACTATGTGAATTATATGTGAATGAAGTACGTCAAATCGTTGAAGAAGCCGAAGCACGTGGTCGTCGCTTTGCGATATTTTTCATTGAAACATTGCAATCATGTGGAGGACAAATCATTTATCCAAAAGGATATTTGAAGCAAACATTTGAGTAAGATTTCAGCTCGACTTTTCTTTTTCTATATCCTATTTTACATATAATGAATAGCTATCTTCAATCGAAAGGCATTTTATGCGTTGCTGATGAAGTACAGACAGGTTTTGGTCGAAGTGGTACTCATTTCTGGGCGTACCAGTCATACGAAGACGGTAACAACAAGAGAGATCTTCGCAAGAAATATCTACTTCTCGGTTGTTTTGTTTTTCATGGGCAGATGTTCGTCCTGATTTTGTCACCTTAGGCAAATCGATGGGTAATGGTTTTCCTGTTGCTGGCTTGGTCACTCGAAAGGCGATTACCGACAAATTTGAAGCTCAAGGTATTGAATATTTTAATACCTATGGCGGTAATCCAGTTAGTTGCCGTGCAGCAATCGCCGTTCTTGACGTAATTGAAAATGAACATTTACAAGAAAATGCGCATAAAGTTGGTTTATATTTTGTCAATCAATTACGCGAATTGCAAAAGCGATACGCACTTATCGGTGATGTCCGCGGTCGAGGTTTATTTCTTGGCATTGAACTAGTTCGCGATCGCGCAGCACGAGAACCTGCGCCAATTGAAACCAAGGCAATTCAATTGAAGTATGAGATTTTCTGAGATATTTGCAAAAAGAAATCTAATCAAATGATTTTAGACTTCGTGATAATTTTATTATCGTATCAATCGATGGTCCAGATCATAATGTGCTCAAATTCAAACCGTGAGTAATTCTTTATCGTACATGACAATTAAGAAGTTTATTGCTTTAGACCCATGTGCTTTGCAATGGTGGATGTGGATTATTTCTGTGAGAAATTTCAAATCATACTCGAAGAAATGCAAGCGATTAAATCAGAAATTGAAGGAAACAACGCTTAATCGACATTTTTATGTTTTTGATTATTCCGAGATGAGATGATGTGCAATGATTTAATTAGGAAAATAAAACTCTATCATCTTGCTTTTGCCATTGTATGCTAAAGTGTTGTGCGTAGAGATATTTACACTCGCAATCTTATAAAAAAGTTTTCAAGTCTCAACAAGTACATGCAGGGAGTACTTTGGAGTTGAAGAATATCGCAGATGTCTTCAGTATTACCTCGTTTTTATAAGAAAAAATGATACACCTAGACAAACATCTACACAAGTATCTTGCATATCACATTCATGTGTGAATGCATTTCTCATAAGAAACAAAGTACAATATTCATCACCTGTTATTACTCTTTTATCTCATGGGCAACGCACAACGATTTCATCGTCATCAACTTGAACTTCATCGTTCCGATGCGATTTATGTTCCCAGTGATATTATTTCAGGTACAGTAGCAAATATAATCAACGAAGATTTATCAATCGTGGTAGTCGGTACCGTCCGATTCAAAAAACACAAGAAGAAACAAATCGAACATTGTGAAATCGACTTCTTTTCGTCAGCATTTCCACTGATACCGTCGTCTTCACAAACATTTCAGATTCATTTAACCGAACGTCTTCCACCATCATTTAATCAATCAAATACTTTTCCGCAGATATCATATTCCCTCAATTTAGTCGATCGAGCATCGAAATCTCGAGTCTACTCTTCACTTCCCTTACATATCCAACCTCGAACACAGATCCATCATCCATCACTCCTAGCGCCATTAGTCTTCGGACCGGTTACCAATGATGGCTACCAGACAAAACTTCAAATCAAAACTAACCGTTCAGCATATCAATTCGGCGATATCGTTTGTCTATTCTACGAATTACAAAATCCAGCCGGAGTATCCATTCATAAGATCGACGTTAGCTTAGGAATCTACTATCTTGTTGAGTCAAATATTTACCAAGAAGATATCACAAATACAACCGAATGTTTTAACGAGATGCTCTCAACGCAAAAACTATTCCGAAACAAAGCTATATTACATATTCCTGAGGACGTCTATCTACCGCCAACATTTAAATATAAACACGATCAAGGTGATGAACGAGCACAATTCCATTTAACAATTGAATACAAGGTACAATTCAAAGTTTATTTAGGAAATTCCGACGATCTATGGCAAGTTGATATCCCCGTAGCGCTATGCCATGAAATTCTTGAGCAAGCAAAGACTGAACTCTGCTAAATGACACAGGAAATACAGATTATTATTATTATTATTATCAAGAAAGTATCACAAATAAAACTACATCTACAACAAATAACGATAGTAAGACTTACGGATGAGATGTTTGAAAATACATCAATTCTTAGATGGAAGTCGAAATGAGCACTGTATCACATGGTAAAATGAATAAAATATCACGTTTAGTTGTCTATCTGGCAAATTTTTTAAATAGTAACAAAAAAAAGTCTAGCACTATTATCGAGTATGAAGAAGTAGATATCGTGAGTCATCGACAACAAAACGATACCATAGAATAGGTAGGAAAATCGTTGAAAAATGCCAAATCGAATGGGCATCGATTGTCCAAGCAATTGGCGGAAAATCAGCTAACTCAAAAGCAACAAAAACCATTGTTAATGACACAGATAATATACAACGCCACACATAAGTTTTGCCTAACCCATAATTGTATATTGCCCATAAAATCCAGCAGATCACATTGAGTAGGCCAACAAGAATATTCACAGTCATATTATAGCCAAAATCCATATCAACGAATAGTAAATAGTAGGCATGATAAAGAAAGAAGCAGAATACGAACAATGATGCTATTTTAGCAGCGGGCATAAATCTCGTTCGGTAGCCAACGCGAATAATACAACATACGAATTGTGCAAAGACAAGGGATATTGCAGCGATATAATCCAGCGTTTCTGTTAGAGGTTTATCACGTGTGTGAAAGATGGTCGACCAAATCCAGGCGTTCATCGATATTAAACAGAAAATGATCCACATGGAATAGAGTGGATGAATGCCGTAGCGGAGATGACGACGTAGCTGTTCATAACCAAATAGATAGTTTGCTAGGAAATTGAAAATCGAGAAGAATGTCGAAGCTGGTTCTTGGATACCAAGAAAACGTGCAAACGGCCATTTGCCTAAAAATATTCAGAAACTAAGGTCGTATGTCGCTAATGAAACGAGTATTACCATGAAATTGTACAACGGGCTGACCGTTTGCTTGCATGTGATCAACAGTTTTCCACATACATTCATAGGCACATTCATCTGGACATGACCATTGGGTGAGATATTCGAACAGTGGCTGTTTAACTTGAAATTCCTGCAGACCTAACGGCGTACTACAATTCATTTGTTGGCAATGATTTAGACATGCTCGATAGAGGTAATGTCTATCGCCAGGCGATGCAAAAACAACGAAATTCAGAGATAAAACCAAGAGTAAAATATAATACATCATCATTAATGACTTCAATATGTCAGGAATTGAGAGTGACAGTGTGTGTATACCATCTGAAATTGATTTGGATGTGTAGACAAATCATCGATTGGCAAGATGTCGCTTACCAGAAAAAAAACAATGCTTTTCTGTTGATTGGTACATATGGCGAACCATAAAGGAGTATTGTTGTAAAGTACGTACTTACTTACGTGTGTGGATACTGCTTTTCTTTTCTACTTTTTCGAAGACCATTGTTTGTTTAAGTTCGTCCTGATATCATGAGTTTTCTCTGGGACTGGTTCACCGGAATATTGTCTGCACTCGGTATATTTCCTTGTTATTCACAATTGATTTATTGACTTTTGTTCCTTATATGATATAGGCTTACACAAGAAAAGTGGAAAACTAGTATTTCTTGGTCTTGATAATGCTGGAAAGGTATGACTTCGTCAATGGAAATATTCGTATCTAGTTGATTCTTTAGACAACGCTATTACATATGCTGAAAGATGATCGACTAGCTCAACATGTGCCAACGTTACATCCAAGTATGAATTGATGGAAGTTTTGTTCGAGCGAGAAAAATATTTGGTCTGTTTCAGCTTCGGAAGAACTAGTTATGGGAAATATGAAATTTACAACATTTGATTTAGGTGGTCACGCTCAAGGTAGGTGTGCTAGAGTGTAGAAATCGGGTTGCATTCGCTTTGTTGTAGCTCGTCGTGTATGGAAAGACTATTTTCCGGCTGTTGATTCAATAGTTTTTCTTGTCGATGCAGTTGATCGAAGTCGGTTCGCTGAAGCTAAAGCTGAACTCGATGTTTGTATTCATTTCATTCAAATTTCTCTTCTTAACTTTCGCTCTCTTTTCAGAGTTTATTAACTGATGAACAGGTCGCGAATGCACCAATTGTAGTTCTTGGTAATAAAATCGATCTACCAGGAGCTGTCAGTGAACAAGAACTTCGCTACGTCCTCGGTATTTCTACTGCCACGACTGGAAAGGTATAGAAAGGTTTTCTTTGTCTTAATTTCAATGAATCTGAACTGCTTTTTTTCAGGGCTCTGTTCCTCGCGCAAACATCAACGGACGTCCAATGGAACTATTTATGTGCAGTGTGCTAAGACGGGAGGGTTATGGTGAAGCATTTCGTTGGCTTTCACAGTATTTATGAAAGAAAAACATTAAATCAAGAATCAATATGATTTCGATTATCTTCATCTTCTTTGTTGGTTTCATTCTTATATACTCATTTTATCTTTTTCTTCCTCTTTATGTTGTTGTCGTTGTCTGATTAATTGTTGGTTGGAAGAGATTGCAAACAAATATGTTAGGGATAAAGATTCTGTTTTCTTTTTTCAGTTTTATTTGACATCTTATGATTTGTATAAAAGAAGAAAAAAGATAAATAAATCCGTTCGTGAATTTCGTTATATAATAAACAGTTTTATCGAAGATTAATCAGTTCAATTCCGACATTATGTATGTGTAATTAAGAATAGACAAGAAATAAACATTCAATAGAACGCGGTTATCGCCGGTCGATTGATCAAGCTTAGTTTTAATCCAGTTCGTACATATTGAAGTTTATTTGTATCGATTTTCTCTCCTAGTCAATCAGTGACGATGATCTATGATCTCTTGTTGTTCCTATTTCTGATTTCCACGAGTTATGAATGCGAAATCTTGAAAGCTTCACAGTGTCCACCTGGCCCAACCAAAGACGATGAAGAATTAATGAAATCAGAACTGTACACCAAAGAACAACTATTCGCCTTTTGTGATGCAGGAAAAACATATACTGATTGTATCAATGAACGTCTGCATTGTTGCGATATGCGGGTGGAGTATGCATCGGCATTGCAATCACTGGATGCTCAATTAAAACGCAATGCATGGCGAACAAGTAAATACTGCGCTGGAATCAGTGAAGCAGCTATTATAAAATATCGATGTTTAACAACGCCAGGATCAGCTATGACAACGACAGTACAAACGACAACGACGCCAACGCCGATATGTGATGTGGAAAAAGTAAGAGAACTTTGTCTAAATGATATACGAATGATGTCGTATTGGTAAATTAGGCTGGAAGAGATTGCAGTCCATTGATTGAGAATCGTGTTCGTTTTGAGCCACACTGGTCAATTTATGAAAAAGCCAAATGGTGTAAAGATGCGTACGATTATTATACATGCGCATTAGCACATATAACGAACTGCTCGACTCAGCCAGTTGCAGAAGATATTGCTCAGTTGACTTTATTCATGGATTTCATCGAAAAAACTGCCATCCGCGAATGTCCTGGAGGTTTATATGGTTGTGCAGTTAATGCTAATCGAGATATGCGATGTCGTGCTGGTGTTCGATATTTTCTCGATAAGAATGCGTTTACTGATCGCGCTGCCATATCTCATGTCTCGTCATTCAACGTCCTTTTCGTCGCAATTTGCCTGATGAGACTATTTTCTTAAAAACGTCTAAACGATCGTTTCTTGTTGCCTTGTTATGTTCATTAAAAACGAAAAAGAAAATAATCTCATTGAATGGTTAGGTTAACGACAGAGAGAGAGAGAGAAGAAGTACAGCGTGTCGTCTATCTATTAATGTCTTAGGATCCGATTGGTCATATCGCTCAGCCAATCGAAATCATTTGTCAAAGTAATAAACAAAACAGCAAAGAACATTATTCATTATATAATTGCTTTAAATCTTTGCTCCTATAGAGTACGAAAGAAGCGATGTCTTCACGTCGTGGAATCTTTTTCAATTCCAAATCGCGTACAACTGATAAAATTGATCAATTAGCAACACAAATATCGAATGAGATCCCTATACCGAGTACAATTTCGACTACAATAAGCGTGACTAATCAAACAACGGCAACAACTACGACTAATACTGGTGCCACCACAGCAACAGGAAAGAAAAAGATTATTTTAAATCATGCAAAGCGTGCTTTGACGAAAAATATCTACTCTGGACCGAGAAAGATTTTCAGTACGAATTACAAAGTAATTTGACCGATACGATCGATTTGTTTATTTCGCTCCAACTGTCGTTATTCTAGGCAAATCGAACACAATTGAATCACAAAGCATTTTTCGGTGGAAATACTGATGAATACGATTTGGATAGTCATGAAACGAAAACGACGACCACAATTTCAACAAGACCAATCATTCCAATCAATAAAGCGAAAATCGAACAGAAACAGGTTGGAAAATTTCGATCAATTCGTGCTTTTTCTTCTCATCTACTACATAGATGCAGACAATCGTGTCAACGATTCGACAACCGACTACGTGTGCCGAACTCGATGAAACACAAAGTTACATTGACGAAATAGAATACCTATTAACTGGATTTCAACCTGGAAAACTACTCAGCGATCGTTGTCTAAGGTAATTGTCAACCTAGAATCGAAATTCTCAGACAACGTCTCCCTTTAGTGTGGTCAAATTTGCTGAATTATGCACAAAAGCTTCATTTCGTACACATTTACGTACGAGCAATACACTTCGTCGTGTATTTGAACTATTAAAAGATGCACCGGATATCCCGGTATGAAAATTAAACCTTCTTTGTTCAAACGATCTTCTTTTGCTTTCTCTAGAGTTTGAATTTATGCACAACGTTCATTTTCTACATCCTTTCAGCTGATATTCTAACCACGGGATTAAATTCCAGTGGCATATATTTCATGTTAGATCTCGTAAAGAAAAATTCGTCAATAGACGTGAACGAACCGGAATATAAGAAGGTGAAAGAACGAATATTGAACATTAATAACAAATTATTACCTGATCAAATCTTTTACGAGCAACGATTCAACGTAAACTTCTTGTTCTTTCTCTTGTTTCGATTTATTAATTCTTGGAATTTAGTCATGTGATATCATTCTCGAAACGTTCGTTAATCTTTCTCATAACAACTTGAAAGAGTCTTTGAAGAACGACTTACGTACTCTGGGTGGTTTCGATTTAATCATCGACGGAAGTAAGAAAGGACTTGGTGTATCGATGTGATTTAAATTCAATTTCTTTCAGTTCATTCAATTGTACAAGATTTATCGAATGATGATTTCAAGTGTTATTCGTTAACTGATCTTTCATTACGTTACAAAAAAGTTTCACGATTTATCAATGTGCTCGAAGAATTCTCCAACGAAAATGCTGAACAATCGATTTTGTCGTCATCGACAACGGATATCAATCGCATGTATATCGCTCAATGTCAACAATATTCATTATTTCACTCATTATCCAAGTAAAATTGTCTTTGAACTCGTTCATTCTCTCGAATAATCACTTCTCTTAAAGATTACTCGATTTATCGTTGGTTTGGCTGCAGCAAGAATTGCCGAAAACAGCGAGTGTCAGTATGACAACAAGCAATGAGCAAGATCCTAATCCATGTGATACATTTCGTGAAGGATGTAAAGCAATCATGTCTATACTTGTTATTCTTACCAATGATTGTGGTGAGTGGAAATGAGGAAGTTCGTTTGAATAGAATCGTCTGTTTTCTAGATGTCAATTGTGATCGTTTAACATCCGACGATCGATTCTTCTCCAATTTGTTTCGTTTGCTCGTTACAATCGAGAAAAGTTCATTTAATAGTGAAGATAAATTCGATGCACTCGCACTGGTTTGTGCTACTCATCGTTGTTGTTTTGATTCATCGATTTCTCTTCTAGACATTGAATTTGTTAATTAATCTTGTACAGAACACTAAACATATCTACAAACGTCTCATGGAAGACAATATGCCTGGTAATGATTCCTTAAAAATCTATGAATACCTCGCGAAAGTAAGGCGACTTAGTTTTTCTTGCAGAGAAAAGACAAAATTTTGATTTTAGCTGTTCTGCGAACAAGAATCATCGGCTGCACGAGCTGAATCTCACGAAGAAAATGACTGGATGATGGAAGATGTCAATGATGATGATTTTGACGAAGATTCAGACAAGAAGCCAACGAACGAAAATGGCGCCAATTTCAATCGAGCATTACAGAAAGCTGCTGGACATATGGAGAATACGTTCGTTGCTGCATTTACTGGTGTTATTCTCGCAGTTATTCTACTACGAGATCGAACCGCATACATCTCTCAAATACGCGAATTGATGCCACAGAAAAAATTCGATACGATGGCGTTTATACTCAAGAAATTCTTTGTATTTATGCACATGTCCGTATGTAGACCACTTGATTTTGAGAATTTTCTGAATGACTGATATGTTAACTTGGTTTTTTAGCATGCGTTTACACCGTCGGGTGTAAAAATTCTCGAAGAACTGATTTCAATGGTATTAACATTATGTGGATAAATCAGATAATTGGTTTTGTTTTGTTAGTGTGTATGAATGTACATTTGACTTTTGTTGTTTCGTGTTTTAATCGAATTTTGTATGAAAAAAACGGACGTATTCACAATGAATAAGATATTCAACGACCTGTTCGTGGTCATAATCAATAGCGTTTGTGCTAATATAGATGATTTGCTAGCAATTAACATTTTCTTTCGAATAAATTACAGAAGTTTTAATGCTAATCGACTTAATTAGAATATGTTTTGTGACACACTTTGCTATTTTTAGTCGTAGCGTGGCCAAGATAAGGTCACGAGAAACTCGGGTATACTACCTAAGTTCCAACGCTTATAAATGAAAATTTGAGAACCATGAAGTGTAATAAATCGACGTCCGTCCTGCTGCAGTCCTTTCCCTACTCAAACTAAGACTATATTTGAATTTCAACTATCAACAGGAGTAGCATTTTCTTAACAGGGAAACTAATGGATACACCAATTGTATCAACACTTTTCAGTGATAAAAAATACCATAATTATACCATTGCCATAGATGACATTTGAAAAGTAGATTTCTGAAAATGAAACTGAGCAGATAATGTTCAATTGACCTTGGAGCATCACAATATGAAAGAAGAGTAGCAAATACATAAGGAGGTTGATAGTTTCGATTGAATTATCCATGATCGAATGATTAGGAAAGCATAGCCGTTGCTCGATAGAACTATAAGTTTCAATGGATTTACTGATACACTTTCTTTTCAAAAGCAAAATGTACAAAAGTATACAAGCGTAGAAAGTACTTATACAAACAAGGTCTTTACTTTATCTTTTACTTATAAGGAAACTATTGCTGGTTTCTATCGACTGATAGAACTCCGAAAACTATGATGCTACTTTCTGCTCTCAACAGAGAATAGTATTAGCATTCTTATTTGTGAGTAGAAACAGTGAGCACAGCCAAAAATGTCACAGAAAACTAATTCTGATGGAAACCCTTATCTATTTACACTTTTGAACCGAAATTAGGTTTAGTTTTTCTCATATGTCTAGGGGAAGTCACACTATCGATGGTATGAGTTGAAAGGAAAGATGCTACTTTGGATGATTTCCTTGTCAAATGGATGCATAAATAAATATATCGAAATTTCGTATGAATTCGAAGCAGTGTAAAATGATGTATGCTGGATTTCACTAGGGGTACCGTACACTGTGTGTGTACAGATATATTTATTTGAAATTATTGATGTTTTATGTCAATATAAAGTGGAAATTTGAAAATCGTTTTTGAGAAATCGGTTAATCCCAAATATGAGTTTGTACATTTGATATACGACAAAATTTATTTTCTAAACTGGACTTCGACGATTGGGAAAATGTATCCTTTCACATTATTTGTACTATTCGTTGGCTCAGATTGTTACAATCAAGAATTAGAAAACGAAATGATGTGTTATATTACCTCATGCATCATACAAAAATTGTCAAGAACATGTCGTAAGTGGTAAATATTGAGTTCGATGATTGCTAGGATGAGATTTCAATCACAAAACGAAGTTGTTTAATAAGAAACAGATTGATTACATGCACAAAATTAATAATTATTAAACAAATAACAAGAAACTTCCGTGATCTCGTTCGTAATAGTATTGTGTGAAGAGAATGATAGAAGAAAATCAAAGTCACAAAAAAAGATAGAACAAGAAAGATTATAAGAACGACGAACATATGTGTTGATCCCATAGTGGTTGAAAAGAACGCGTAGAGCACACGACAAGTCAGTTGTAAACTTCTATATAAGCTTCCAGTTTATTTCTTGCGGGATATTTGAAATCTAGTAGTTCTCTATAAATTAATGATGGCAATTCGGAATGGCATCGACATAAAAAGTTGATGTTTGGTATTAATAGATTAAGTATAATTAGAAATATTTCCGATGTTAAAAAGTTTGACACGTGATTATTTCATTGAGAATAATTCTTCGTAATAAGATGAAGTGTTCTAAACATCACATTGACATTCAGAATATCCCTGAAACTGTTCTTTTCAGTTACTGATGATGAGTTGAACAAGACGCTCTTCTCTGTCAAGTTTCGTGATTAATTGACTTCTATTTTACAGGAAAAAAAACAACACTCAATGTACAGTCTTCATCTCGCAGATGTGTTTAAATCAAAATAACTTTCTCATTCTTTTCACATAAATTGATAAAGCAAAGAAATTACAAGTGCTAACAAAGTATTTCTTAGCACGTATAGTTGGACTGATATTTGAGCACTTGACAACTTTATTAATACCGTTCTATACTATTAGATTGAACTTGTTCGATCATGTGACAAAGCACTCAGTTTCTATACCTATTTCTTTGGAAATTCACATGAGCTTGTATAATTGAAATAAATTAAAGAAAGTCTAATAATATAACATTAGATATATCCGAAAGGACAGACAACTATTTATAGATTTGTTTGCAATATCTCATCACCGTGAGCGTAAGAGAACATTTGTGAATTTAATATATACTAAAACCTACGAATATATGAACAATGGGAATTCTGTTGGTACTTATCGATAACTGCAGTGGACATCATGTCCAGCTTTTCCTGTCGTTTTATCTGTTGAAGAACAGTACGTATAGTACATATGATAGTATATCTGTCAAAACAAAAACATACTGTGTTTTTTTATCACAACGAGATAATCCTACAAGGATAAATCGCTTATTTATAGCAATTGCCTTATAGATTTACAGAAGAATATCCGAGAAAAAGTCTCTTATACATATTGATATCAGTTAACGAATAATATCAAAGATCTCTTCGTATTATTTATCAAAGTAATCGACAATAAAAACATACATCGAATTCATTTTCTTCTGTTTCTCTCGTTTCATCGATGTTGATTATTAAGAATTGATCGACATGTTCGAAATCATGAAACACTTCTCATCATTTACTGCGAACATTGATCATTACTTTTCCAAAGCGAAATAGTTGACATTTATGGGCATTCTTTCTCAACTTAATCAATGATTCTTTTGTCGATCAACGTCAGAAACCAACTCTCGTTTCTTCTCCCACACCAATTGTCACCTGTTGTTATGATTATTCTGTCCGATTTACAACAGCAATTCGCCTAAGTTTATGTCTATATATCATTCTGTCACTTTTCTTCTTTCTTCATTGTCAAGCATTTGCTCTCGTAAATACTTAATCAATAGTCATATGTCATCTTGAATTTGAATGTTTTCAATGCAATCAACGATGGTTACATTCGATTCTGTAATACTCATCTTTGACAGAAATTGGCATTTATCGTTTTGTTTCGTCGATCTCTAATCCTTCGATGAATGATTGTGTCATCATTTAAAGCATGGAGAATAGAAGAGAAAGAAGAAGGAGAAAAGCCGTACACTAAGAAACTCAGCTAGAAATCTTTTCCTTCTTCTTCTTCTTCTTCTTCTTCTCCGTCTTCTTTTTTCTTAAGCCGACTAGTTACATTTACTTTACGTTCTTCATCTTCTACTTGTCAAATATATGCGCATGATTTTACTTCTAGTCCAAACGTGTTCTAATGAGAAGAGGTAAGTTGCAAACACAGAAGGACTTTCTTCGCTTTACTTTCTATATAGAAAACTAATCTCCGAGAACTTTAAGGTTAAGTTTGCTTGATAACAGCATTGATTGCTTCGATTTCTTCTTTCCCCTACTGAATTCATCTGGAATGTTTTTGATATATCATTACTGACGTTCTAATCAGTCTTGTTTTCCAAGTGTTAATGCAATGGCATTGACTGTCTGATTTGTTCTTTTAGTTGTATTTTGCAGTGATATTTTCCGATGATACTATTCGGAAATGAAAAAAAGGACAAGAGATCTCGCGGGTGTACATACAGCATCGCTCGTTTTCTTCTCCTTCGTTAACCGTTGCTCTCATTATTCTCATCAATGAAATAATAACATACACGCTGCTTTTCGCTCATGCATACATAGGCGGATGTGCGTGTTTTCTCCAATGTCTCAATGATAAGTCCTCTTATTCTATTTGGACAAGAACATAGGATACGAGCTTTAGATATTCTGCTTGTTGTTAATAAGGACTGCAAAGAGAACGACATATCTTGTCCTTCACGTTCTTCTTCGATTATACATACTGTGATTTCTATCCTTGAAGATCACAAAATTATCGAAAGAAAGCGATGAGATACGTATCTAAGTGTATTCGTTCGTAAAACATCATTTGATTCAAGGCCATTCGCAGAAACAAAAGCCGATGCGTAAAACAGAAGGTGTATTTGTGCAATCGTTCGCATAGCTGCGCATGTCACAATAACAAGACTAATAAGAAACAGAAAACATCAATTGGCAGTTTTCTCGGTCTTTCCTCTTCACTCGAACACATGACAATGCATTCATCTTCGAACATGTGTAAGACAAAAGATTAATTTCATATAATTTCAAATCATTGTATGTACTAAGGTTTCGATTATCTTTTGTCATAGGTTTGCGTCACTCAATGATTATTCTTCATTAATGCGGGAGAAAAAAAACGTGCACAGTTGGATGCTGTCATACATATTAGATTACGTTAGATCATTGGGTGTCGACGTAGTTCAAGAGCAAAGAAATTAATCGAGACGAGTCAATTGATTATCACAAACAAAATTGAGCATTGAAGAAAGAAAAAGAAGGAAAAAAAAATAAAAAGAGAGAAAGTCAGAGACAGAAAAAGGAAAAGACAAAGACATATATATATATAATGTATATGAGAATATGAAGGTCGTTATATAGGAAAGAGAAAAATGGTGCATGTGCAGAGGTCTGTAAAATAATTTGCATAAAAAATACCTTATTCATCGATTGATTACATTTTCGTTCTCTTCTTCTACTCTACTTTGTTTGTCTTTAAACAAATCACATTTCCTGTTCATTCCAGATTTTGTTTAATGATTGCCAGAATGTTTTCTCGATGAACAATCTACATGTCTTGGTTAGTTCACGTGTTTTTGATCAACTTGTTTTCTTCGATACACTTCAGCTTCACTGCTGACAGTTATCGAGAGAATTTAGCGTTACGTCATCCATGTAATTCGATCAACAAGCGTCTTCAACCGTACATTACATGGACAGAAAAACTTGCCAGTAGTCAATACAAAGGTAGGTTGAAATAATTTTTGCTCACATGTCGATATTGTCATGAATGATCAAAATCACTGATGTGCATCGTTGCCAAACAAAAGTAACAGATAATCTTCGTTGTATGAATATCGATTTCGAGTGGAACTTCTTTCGCTTGTTATGCGCTGTTTCTCATCTGAAATCGGAATGAATTCTCTCAGGATTGTTCGTAGTCAATATTTAATGATTAGTTCTATGTTTATATGTAAATTGTTTTCTTTCGGGTGTGCCCGAGAAACTGTCTCGAGCAGCTTGTTCTAGACATTCTTTCGTTTATTTATAGTTCAGAAAGATGCTTGCGGACAGCTTAGTTCTGGTCCAGCATGTTGTACACACGAAATAATCAATACTTATGCATTGTCTTATGGAACAGAATTACAAAAGTTAATCGATGCCGAATTCGATCGTTTTACACGATCGTTATTCCTATCAAAAGAACAAATCGATAGTGAGTAGATACTTATCGTACTTATCGCTAAAATTCACCCGTTTTTTTTTAGTCTGGTCGAAAGAATACATAACTGAATTGCGTCGTTTAACCATTTCATCTTTGGAAACACTCTTTGGTACCAAAGAATATCGTTCGAATGTTCATCAATCCGTTATAAGTTTGTTTAACACATTGAGTAACAATCAATCATCCGTTGATGATGTGTCCAAAGCAACAATAGATTTATTCAATCAATTGATTATTTCATTATATCGACAATTTATGGTGGATAACAAAGAACTTGTTCTTGATGCTAAACTTACAAAATGTCTCGTGAACAAAGCATTCGAGATCGATGCGCTGTCGTCTCAACGTGAATTACTCTATATTCTAACAAGTGGTTCATCTTTGCTTCAACTCTTTCGAACAATGATTGTTTACATCCATGCTGATATTCAACGAATAACATCACTGCCAACAATGACTTCAAACTCATGTATACAACGCTATGCTAGAGAAACGCTGTGCCCATTATGTGTTAATACATCAAGATTTAATCAAATAATTAATGATGATAATAATGAACCTTTATGTGAAGGTGATTGCCGATATGTGACTAAAACTTGTTTCAATCAAACAAATGGTTCATACATTGAATTTGCTACAATGTTTAAAAACTACTCGTTGATCGTACGAGATATCGAACAAACCATTGTCGATCTTAAAGTAAGTCTCAATCTAAAACATATCGTTTAATTGTCATATGATTTGTTCTTCTCAAGCTTGTTGAACGTCTTTCGAAACTACATATCTATCTCTATGATATGGTTGTTAAAGCAATAAATAGTCGCCAGATATACATTCAACTTCAAAAAGCTTGTCCTGATCCAAATGCGAAATTATTCAGTCCTTTGCTTTCCCTTCCGCCAACGATCAGCGAACGACGCGAACTTGTTTATCAATGGAATCGATCATTGCATTTCGTACTAAAACAACTTCAATCGTCTATTGATACTCTCTACATTCATTTGACTGAGAAGATAATTACAGATATTTGTTCCAATTCGAATTATGCTGTCAAATCGAATCGATGTACACAAATCGATAAACAAAATGCAAAGTAAGATAATTAATCGAGCAAGGTTAAAAAAGATTATGTTTTTTATGACATTACACGACAAGAACAGTCAGTTCTCATGTACGAGCTCGAAAACGAATCGTACAAGCTATTCTCTTCCTTTATGACGCAGTCAATGCCATTGATTTGTCGGCTGATGTGCCATGTATAAAAACTTGAAAATCATCAAGGCATTTACAACCTCTGATCGTTTTTTCTTCAGTTCATTGAAGCTTAAATTATAGATTTACCTCCTTTCAATTGCAATGCAAACTCGACACCTTGAATGCTTAATATGGATAAGATCAACATGAGATTCTCTTAATTAATAGGTTAATTTTATTCCATATATTTCGATGATTGACTCAGATAGTCAAGAGATCAGTCTCATGTGTAAATGTCTCCTTGAACTTTTGACAAGTTAGTGATTAAACATTTGTTTCTCTTTTCTTTCTCTTCGTCAACTAGTAATTTCATTCAATGGTCACTTCCATCCATTCCGTCGACAAGCAAACCTGCTAATAATGCTGAATTAACACGTAATCAACTGGATGATTTAAAGAAAAAGCTACTTCCCATTCAGCAAATCGTCATCTCATTACGGCCGAAAAAGAAATATAATCTGATTGAATATATTCCCGATTTCGATGTATATGATGATGAAGTGAACACCATGAGCGTTGATGAACATTTTCCATCAACAACTGTGATCGATACATATGATAACAATCTTCAAGAATCACTTAGTGAACGATTGTATAAAGAAATCGACGAAAAAATAATCGGTAAACAATGCTTGACTCTTTATTCTGTATGTTAAATCTCTCGGAATTCATTTAGATCAATCATATGTGGTAACAGAAACGAAATCATCGAACCGTGGTCAATCGGGAACATGCAATCTATCATTTGATTTGATAATTTCTCTTTTTTTGTTTACTACTGCTATTGCTATTGTTTAGGAAATGAACTCATAATCTTCACAAGTCTGATTTTTCGTTTTTCTCTTTCTATTATTAGTGATATGTTGTTGTTAACATCCATCCAATTCGACTTATTTATTATCTCTTTTTTTTTTTGTTCAAATTGATTGATCTCCGGTGTTTTCTCCTTTCTCTCTCTCTCTCTCACTAGCATTGAATATATCTTTCGTTGTTGTTCTTTTTCTCACTGTTGTGTAATTCTTAGTGATTTCTTCTTTTGTAAATTTCTCTGCAATTGATCTTATATACATAGACGATTTACAATAAAGACAGGTCATTTGAATCGAACGAAGTCGATTTGACAAGGCAAATTTCTGACAACTTCGCCTTATCGGATGTCTTTCACTGACATGTCAGCTACTTTCCGTTTTCTTGCCGAGTTTTCTGTACGAGAAAAACGATTTATTAATACCAACATCGTTTTGACAAGATTCTATTACATGCTTGAGATCAATAAATCTCTCATTAGTCAAACAGCACGGCAAAAGGAGAAAAAACGTCTATTAGATTAGTTAATAAAAAACAATTCGTTGACATATAGACCGTATTTACGAGCCCTTCGATAAGCTGCGCAACGGTAGAAGATTGATATGTTTCACATTTGCTCGTATAATTAGGAATAAATTATCTTTTGTTCGCATTATTGATCAAAACCTATCTACAACATATCATCACACGCAGACACAAATGAGATCAATATGTTGTAACATTGATACAGTAGAATAAAGCTTGGAGAATTGGATACAGTCAATCAATGTACATATATCTGTAGATCCATTAGGAAGAAAACAGCTATTATCGGAAGTTTTTGTTTATTTATATTGCTCTGTGTTTAGGTCGAATCTACCCTGAATGCTAACAAAAACTTTCTCTCGCATCTGTATATGAAAAAAGAATGAGTGATTTTGTTTTCAATATGTCGAAAAAGTCACATATTGAAAAGTGTTACACATAAAAGATTTGTTGTTCTGAGTTTTTTTTGTGCTGTTGTAAGGAGAAATAAACAAACGAGTAGATAGATACATGAATGGAATCATACTTATTCGAGATTTACTTCTTAAGATGATGTGATTCGTAGTCGTTTAACTGTTTCCACATGAGTCGATTTACGTTTTTGTGATGATGTGTTGCTTGTCTGCTGATATGGTACAAGAAAGTCTTGATTTGCCATTAGAATCGGTAGTAGTGCTTGTGTTGACGAGACGATCTTCATAAATGAATAGAGTAGATCGCAAAAGTGTTTACGCGATTGTGAAAATGTCGCGCGAATTAACGTCGTACGTCGTAGGGATTCAATATGGCGTGTTGATTGTAATTTATCTGTCGAAATTTTCATAATTCGTATACAATCAAAGAACTCGTCCATTTCGAGTCTTCTTCTATCTAAAAATAGGATGTTTTTCTTTCATCACATCGATGTATGACCTACAATGATTTCGCTTTTTATAGATAGAAATAACAGGAGAAGGGAAAAAGAAACTCGTATACTCTGCCATACATACAATACCAAAAAAAAAACACATCGTTTGTCGATGGTAATAGTTGATGTGAGTCTTTATTCTTCCTTTCATTCTGTCTTTCGGAAAAGATTTGGTGGTAAAAATAGGAAGCAAAAAAAGAAGCTTTTCTTCTTCTTCTTCTTCTGTTCTTCTTTCTTTCCTACATCGATCAAATCTGATTCGAAGGGATATATCAATGATTACAGAAGAAAAAACTAATTTTTCTTCGTTTAAAAATAACGACGAGAACAAGAAGACGAGAAGAACTTCAGTTAATATAAAATCAATGTTTTTCTTCTGACTTGTTTAGAAAATTAATAATGAATAGAATTAAAATACTTTCTCGCGTATGCTATCGGTGATCTCGATGAGAACATTCTCCTTTCGATGCCATTTTCATCATCACTTACAAAATCATTATTTGCACGCCTAGATTTCCTTCCTCTAGGAAAATATTTCAAATCTACATACACACACACACAAATGAAAAATATCCTTTTGAAGATTTACCTGTGCGTCACTTTCTTTACGAGCTCGCTGAATTAAGTTGATTCATATTTTTTGTCAGTATATATAGTATGGATGCATGCACCTCATTGATTATGTACACATCGGTAAACGACTCAGCTTCATTGTTGGTTTCCTATTCATATCGCGCATCGACTATGTTGACCCGGATGACGACGATAGGAACATGTGAAAGGCGCAAAAGCGATTTCTTTTGTTTCTCACCTCGGATTCTAGTGAAATACGTTTGTGTTAATGAATATTAAACCATAAAACGATGAATAATTCATCTGTAAAATAGTCGATTATTTAACGAAGTAAAACATGAGATGAATAGCGAGAAAAAGAAAAACAACGGTCGAATAAATACTACAATTCAGTTGAGTAAATGTCACTAGTCGATCTTGTCACTCTCTCCCATATGCAAAAGACAATGACGAGAAGATCAAAACAATACATTTCATATTGAAGATTATTAAGAATGTGTATGGGTCTTGTTTGATGATATTACTAAGTTTATACAATAGATTAAACTAATCAATCGATCCAGACATAGATGCGATAGAAAGAAACAAACATGTTAATCGAGATGGTTGTTGAAAGACTCACACTATTGCATAGAACGGTAGTGACTAGACGAAATTAATAACATCAAATTGTAATTATTGGTATAGGTTGTATAACACAGTTGACAACAGGCTCTTTGATAGAAAGAAGTAGCCGAATCTGTTTGATTATTTTTCCTCGGCAGAGTTTCCTGCGGTTGATGTACATTAGTCTCAAACTCGAATCGATATTATTGTTGTCATTTGCATCCAGATGATAAGACTGATGGAAAAATTATCTTTCGTATTGTTTTACATTCTAGGAGTAGAAAAACTCGTGAGTGCTATTTGCTAGTTAGCAGGAAATTGTATTATTACGATTAAAGAAAGTTAAATGGTCATTGGTTAACAGATGTGTACTAGGAAACATACCATCTAATGACAAATTGATTCGAGTTGGAGAATGTATGTGACAGTAGGTTTCAACAACAACGGCACTTTCCTATATCAATCGTAGTGGCTCTAGAAAGAACAGATATAGTTGTTTTAGCCGAGAGAATTTCTATCTTTTTACCTTATGATTCCAATCAGAACTGGCAATTGAGTGGAATAAATTTCAGTCAGTGCGTGGTATCCGCCTTTTCTTTCGGAAATCCATGTTTGCAATGATTTTATGTTAATACTTTGACCTACACCATGTCAAATATGAGATTAACGACAAGTACGTATGCTTCGCTTGGAATTTGCCATCGAATGCCAATTCATCACTACCGACGAACTACGCTAATCAAAATGTCATATATAGATAAAAGTCACGATAACGGCGTAAAGTTAAAAGTTGCAAGAGCGCTTTGGAAATATCCAGACTGATGCAACAACAGGTAAAGCCAACTAATGATATTCGTATTTTTTTTCTTTCGTTCTGCCAACTGTATACCGCCAATTGTGTCATGACGTCAGACAACCACAAGTCACTATTCGCTCCCTACACTTCCCTTCGTTAAAATCATGGAACGCGTCTGCATATATATAGAAGCTAATCTAAACAGAAATTTGCTTATCCTTACTACACTAACGAAAACTATTCAATGAGTGGAACTGCATTCGATGCTCAGACAGCTGATGGCAAGTCGAGAAAAGAAGTTTTGTAAATTATCAAGTGCTCTTTTTAACGTTGTTTAGGTATAGCTAGTCGCTTTTACGTCGAAAGTGTACTACAAAATCCAAATGAAACCGGTCTTGCCATCGGTCAACCAACTCCCGAGGTACAAAAACGAAAAGAAAGATTGGTATTATTCAGAATACAACAATACTCAGCTGTATCGTGAGAAATTATGCCATCATCAAAATATCTACTGATAGTGGAATGGAACTCAGACAAATGTACAGATCTGATATGATAACTCAAGAGGATCTTTAATTAATTATTATAATTTCTGACTTCATTTTAAAATCCTTATAAAAAAATTGTGTGCAGTTATGAGAGACTGAATTTTTTTTATAATAAAATCCGCGAAAAAAAGACAGATTGTCTCACTTTATCTGTGAAAGATAAGAACGGAATGCGAATGATCTTCTCAAATTCTACTTTTGAAATCAACAGTTTTATTGTCTCTTTATTGCTTTGACAGTGTTAGTAGAATACTTCTTACATCCCTATTCGTACGTCGGAGTCGCCATTGACAGAGCAGACTTTCTTTGAAACTGTGCAGCTCTATAGGTGGCATCGTCTACGTCGTGTCTATTGGATTATGCAAACGATCATTCTGTGTGATTTTGTCCAAATCAGGTAGAGTACATCAATAATGACGAGAGGAACGAAAATCACATGCTCCGGAATCAATTCTCAACACGTCATTGAAAGTGCTTGCACATAAGAATAGACTCAGGCGTGTGTTGTCTAGTAAAGTGTTTCATTAAAACAACAATGGCCGTATTTTGCGTCCTTCTGACAAAAGTCATATCTTGATCTGATGTTTATAAACTCGTGAAAGTGTCTATGCTCAGTACAAGCAAAGTTTTATTCAAACTGAAGTGACTCCCTACGATCGAGTACCATGTTTGATCCATATGTGACTGATAGTAAGAGAAAATACATTTCCGCTTGATATATTCGTAGTTTTGATTTCTAGTTGCTGCCGTTGATCTTTATGTCAATAGTCCAAATACCGTAAATAAAAACAATTTTGTTTGAACTTTACACATGAAATGTTTTTGTTCTTCTCTCGGTTAGTCTTCCGGTACAATCGGTCTTGTTTACACCATTGATAAATATTCCGTTGCTGCGTAAAACGAAGATAAACAATGATGGGTTGATTTTTCCGAGAAAATCAAACTGATCGGCCTTGACCAGATTGTACAGGTGAAAACAAACAATTCACATTACTGGAATAGAAGTTTACTTGCGTGATTTTATTCGAAACACTATTAAAATAAAAGTTGTTTGTTGTTTCTATGTGAGAAACTACTCTAGTTGAGAAGCATTAGTTTCGAGTGCGATTGAATAGTAATGCCATAGGATGAAGATAAAAGGAAAGCGGGGGATTGAGTAAGCGTATCGATATCGATGTTTAGAAGACAGTTTTTGTTAACCAGTCAAGATCGTAAGATTTTGCTTGTTCATTGGCCAAACAAAGACGAGATGTTGATTCATCAGTATTGTCGAAAGCAAAGAGAAATTCTAAACGAAATTGTGTCAAGGATATTTCAAAGGGAACAACGAAGAGTACCATCAGGTGTAAATGAATCCTCGTTATTCGTGTATGTTTCCGAAATTGCATTCATTTTATTGAGAATCTTCTCCGGATCGCTGAACTGTAGCAGACGAAGTAATTGAAGGATCCTAAAACGATCGAGAGGACTCCTTGAGTATCTGTATGCAAGACAAGTTTTACTGTTCTTTGTCAATTTTTCTACGATGATTACAATCGAAAATATTAAACCAACGGGACAAATCCTCCTTAGTAACTATTCCACTATTGACAATTGGAAGAAATATATCTCGAAATTCTTCCCATGTGACATAGCAATCTAAATGTCGGTCGATTGACATGTTATTCAAGTGTTTTCTTTCGATTAACAATACCCGAGTTCTGCTTTTGGTTCAAATACAAGTCGATAAACGAGTGCAGATCTTCATTCGATATTAGAATGTTATTATTAATGAATTCATTTGTCAATTTCATTGCCAATGTTGATTTCTTACTGTCCAATTGTTTGTTTTCCGCATCAGCACCAACTCTTTTGAAGATTCGAGCCAATACTAAACGAAAACTTTTTTCTCATTGATTCGAATGAAATGTTCTGCTACTGACAGATCATGTGATTGTTGAGCATTTCAGTATTACTGACGTTCGTTTTCGATGGAAAATTGACAATCGGGACTGGTAAGGAAATCGACTGGTTTTCATCCGCGTTCGGATGGATGCTAAACCAATGTTTAGCTTCCAGCTTTTCCGGAAGAATACTATTATTGATATCATCAGTTTTTTTCACGATAGCAACGAACTCTAAGCATTTTCACAGGAAATAAGTGATGGAAATCAGTTCGATAAACTTACCATCAATGCTCAATTGATCATCTCGATTCTTACCGAATTCATTCATCATGTAATGTGCCAGTTCAGCTGAATTATTAACTTGAAGAAGTTCGAATAAATCTATAAGAGATGACTTCGAGAATGGAAGACAAGGTATTTGATTATGTCTATACCGATGATTTCTTCGAATGATAGAAACCCATCTTTACTTGTGTCGAATAAGTCAAACAGTTTCCGAATATGTCTTTCCGTGTAACGACTAGTAACGATAGGGAAAAGTACATCACGGAATTCAGTCCAATCCAATGTTTTCGAACGAGCTAAATAACGACAGAGACAATTGGTATGACGATGTAAAGGATTATTTACTTCCTGTAGCAGCAGGTTGGATGATATATTTTGTTACAAAATTATCGAAAAGCGTGCGAATGATATTATCGCCGAATTCTAATCGATCAATCAGTTGCTCGGAAAAATTGTCGTCGATTTCGACTAGATCATCCTCATTAGCTAGATCTCGGTAGACATAGCGAAGATCTAATTTAAACAAGCAAGTATTTTGTTCAGGAGCAGAGGTAGAAAACATTGTTTCGATTACATACCTTCCATAACAGCTTCTAAACTGTTTTCATTAGATTCCCTGTCTTCGAGTTTAGGAGAAGTTGATCGATCAGCTTCTAGACTAGAAACATATTCGCTTCAAAGAGTGATCATTCGTACTGACCTTCTAATGGCTCTACGTTGTCGTCACACACATCAGTTAATGATGCTTCACTTGAATCGGTTCGTTTCAATTCTTGATTTTGCAAATGAGTACTATCGTTTGCAGTTCCATAATAACCTGATGAGGAGATAAAGCCAATGTCACTGTTCTCCTCAATTTGGTTGTAATCAGAAGAACTAACTGGTTCTTCTGTTGTTATAGGATCTTCTTCGAGCTTCGCGTCGTTTTTTCCAGATGAATTTAGAAAACGGTGTGCTTTTGATACATCAAAAGAAGATGATTCTTCTTTATCAGATGGATCGGTTTCCAATTCTTCGATACGGTAAATTGACGGGCGGGACGGATCTTGTTCCGCGTCGTCAGTTTCATAGGAAAATGATGATTTGGTTTTCTCTTCTGATTCAAAATCGTTATCATATCCGTCAGATGATTCTGCCAAGTGATTTTCATTACCCAGATCTCCTACGAAAAATAGATTATTGAATAAGTTGTACGCATAATGCTTATTTACCTATGGAATTCGATGGGTACCGTTCATCAGTACATATAACTGATGTTTCTTCTGTTGCTTGATGATTACTGGTAGAAAAATGCTGATTTTCTGATACGTCAGACAGTGTTTGTTTCTCCAATGTAGTAGATTCGATAGGTGACATTGCCGAGTTTTGCTGCTCATCGGATTGTATTAAAGATGAAAAATTCGTTGGAGATGTAACAACTTTTTCGTCGTTCGGCTTTGCTTCTTTGTCGGGTATTTGATCACTTTCAAACGACTTCACGAGTTGCTTTAACGATGATGACAATGCTTCTAAATAGTTGGCTTCTTCTTTAACAGGAGACATTGGCTTGTCCTGAGATTTAATCCATGATTCATGCTCCTCTGAGTCGATTAACACCGGTTGAAGAACTTCTTTAGATTCTTGCTGATTTTCAAGAATGTCTGAATCAGTAAAATGCTCTTGATACGTCTCTGGCACTTGTTTATCTTCTAAGGTTGTTAAAGCAGATTGTTCTGTTTGAAGGGGTGACTCGTCGTCATGTTCTGTAGATGCGATTTGTACGTCATTGTTATTGGTCAAGTCTTCTTCTTTTTCTAACAACGACGAAGTTAAATACGTTATCGTTTCGAATAGACTATTTCCTTCCGAAGTAGATGGTGATGATGATGCATTCGGTAGGTCTTCACTATGGGTTACCACTGTTTGCACTTCTGACGGCGACTGTTGAGGAGTTTTCGGCGTATTCGTTTGTTGATTATCATCGGGTGATTTTTCCGATACTCTTGACAGGTTCTCTGTATTCTTAATTTGATCATCTTCTACATAAATTGTTGATAATGCAGATTCAGTAGACGGTACATCGTTCTTTTCTTCATTGAGTTCAGTTTGGTTCAAATATGGTAAAATCTTTGAACATGAAACATAGATCAATTCTTTCCTTCTCACACTGATCTACTTACAGGATAAGTTTTATGCGCTCGTGCGAGTGTCGTTCGCAATACCGTTGGTCGATGTGGCTGTTGGTCATTAGCTAATTGCTGTTGTTTTCGTCGATACTCACTTTCCAAAACCCCTCGATAGAGTGTCAATTCAAATTGCAAATTTCGATCGTATTCAGTCAAACGTGTCAACTGTTCATTCAAAGCTTCCAATGCGATTTTACTTCGTTGCAATTCATTGTCTTTATCGTTCGATTCCCGTAAATGTGTATTACGTATGGCACGTAAATCCATTTCCTGTAATGTGTATTTTCAATCGAAACTAAGAACAAATCAATTGAACTTACCATAGAAGAGATACGATCAGATAACAATCGATTATGCTCATGTAGTTTTGATAATTCTTCATTGGCTGATCGATACTCTTCTTCAAGTTTTCCACATTCTGTTTGAGATGTATGTTGCTGAGCGATCTCTATCTCATTGCCTGTTACATTCGCTAGAGATGTTTCTTCGAGCTTTTTTATCGTTTGTTTGTATTCATTCTCAATCTGTTCGATTTGCTGGTTATTCAAATGTTCGAAATCAGCGTGTATACGCAGAATAGATTCATTTAAACACGATAAAAGATACAGATTCGCATCGGTTTGTGCTTCAAGTATAGTTTCATACTCTTCATCAAGAAATTCCTTTGCAGTTTGCATCAGCTTCACTTCTTCTCGAAGACTTTGCACTTCAAACTAGAATTCGTCAGGTTTAGACATGAAAATCTTCTTTCCAATAGCGTCTTACCTCAGTTTTCGATCGTTCAACATAAACTTGTTCCAATTGCATTTGTAATTGATCGATTTTCTCCGTTGCCTGACGGTGAATCTGCTTTTCTCTTTCGACATGATTTAAAGCACTTTGTAATTGCTCATTAATACATTTCAATTCATTCTGAACAGCGCGATCTTGTCTTTGTAACTGATTCAAACGTTTGAGCTGTTCCTTTTCATTATTGACCACGAAGTTGATTCGTTTTTTGATCTCTTCGCGTTCGTTTATGAAACGCTTCGCACGAGTTTTCGATTTGTATCGCTGAAGATGAGCATCAGTCAAAACCAAACTTTCTTGCCGAAAGTCTTCTGGTAAACGTTTCAGATGATTTTCTAATGTTTGAATATAATTCGTTCGAATTTCTTCAATGCTGTTCTGCAAACGATTGTTGTCATCATCAATTTGTTTTGTATCGATTAAATATGTTTGAAAATTTGTATTCAGCGAGCGAAATTGTTCAGCTTGAATGTTGTACGAAGAACGGGATTGCTCAACTCGAGAAGCGACGTCGTTCCACAGCTGATCGTCAAAGACATTCACCATGTTTATCAAATCTAGAATTAGAACTCCACGTGAGTGGAAAACAGGCCATTGTAAGAAGGCATTCACATTCTTTTTAAGCTGGAAAAAGGATACAAACACTCTTTTGGTGCTACCTGTTTGATGAATTCCAGTTCAACACACAAGATTATTCATCCTATTCAATACGAATCGATTATTTTGTCAAAGTCATGTCTATTGCTGATACTTTCATCAGAACGAGGGAATTCTACACCAAAGTATAAGCAGAAGAAGACAGATAATTACCGAACATTGTCATAATGTGATAAATTCTATATAATAGACTTGATTTTCAGGACTAATACCCACCTTTAGCCACCTATTTCCTCTTCATTCGAATCGACGGGCATTTTCTTTCTTTTGATGAACACTTTTTCTTCTTTTTCACTTTATCGAAGAGAAGGGAAGAAAAAAAAAGATATTTTCCTCTGTTCTTTTCCTCGTCTTGTTCTTCTTACTCACTGACTTGATTATACTAGCAAAAAAAAGTGAAAACCACTAAACTGTCAACAACATTAGAAACGGATTTTAACATAGAAATGCACACATACCTTCGCAGACATGATCAACTTCTAAATGCTTTTATAAAAGTATATTGTGTGCATTATTATTCTCGATAATGATGTCGATCAATACAGAATAAAATACCTGCTGTCGACCATGTCAGAACAAAACGAGATGAATTATATGAAACTTGATGTAAATGACATCCGATCGAAGAACTGAAAATAGAGAAAGAAAATGAACCGAAAGTATCAGTCGAGACCCTTTTCTTATTTGTCAGATTTACTTTGGTTAATTATCAAATGAATGCTTCACATGCGATATTCAAGCCCGATCTTTTTTCTTTCGCTCTCGCACAAAATTCATTATTTATTCTTCTTACACAAGAAGAAAAACAAACGTCCGTTTAAAGTGAAATCTTCCCAAGAAAAGAATTTCTTCATCGTACTTTAGTCGAGAACAATGATCTAATAAGCTAATTTGCTTCAAGTACATTTCATCTGTTCAACGTCAGACACTGTCGAGATTCTCATTAGAACAATTTGTCTCCTTTTCTCAGAAATTCTTACTTTTCTTTTCAAATAGGCGGTTTACAGCATAGCCAACATTTCAGAAAGAGCTGAAAGCAGACGCGTCTTTTATCACTCCATAATAATGACAAATTCTCTCACTACCTAACGCTCATTACCCTCATCAGAATTTTAACAATTAGCGACAGATGATCATCAATGACTGCTTTTTTTGAAATTAGCGATGAGTTTCCGAAGTGAAATTCGGGAATGATAAGAGAAAATTGGACTATTACATCTTTTGATCATGTAAACAGCATGACAGATGATTAGGCGTGACCAAGAAGGCATCATCAATGTGCCAGTACATCTTTGTAATTAGAACAATTACATCATTGACGACTTAATGTCATTCTTAGTAGCAAAGAGGCATGTAACGATTGACGCTAGGCGGAATAACTAGGAAATGTGAACAGAAAAATAGCATTTATTTTCTTTTTGTTTAAATTAAATAATCAGCATATAAAAAAATTCACATTTGAAAAAAGAAAACTTGGAATCATTGGTCGAATCTGAATTAATTGATTTTTCAATCATCCGCTGCATTACCGCGGTATAAAAAACCGAAGACATGTTTCAATGGATTATCACCATAGCCTTGTAATTTCTCGATCGCTTGACGAACGCGAACAGTAGTTGCTTCATCTAGCTGAAGCGTCGATTCAATGAAATGTAGTGCATCGAGCGATTTCAATTTCATTGCGGATTCGATTGCTTCGTCGACCATTCTTCGAAGAGAATCCGAATCGATCTGAGAAGAAGAAATTGTCTTTGACTTACTGAACTTTTGCGTACATGAATGGCATACGCTTTTCATCAAGTTTCAACGAATAAACCGATCGATCAAGAAAACGACGAGCTTCATCGATTCGTTTGTATCGAATGCAAACATCAATAAACGGCTAAAACCGAACAAGACGTAGATTCTATGAACTTGGTTTTTACTTTACCTCGTAACCGATGGGTGACGTTTGTTTTTTTCCGAATTCTAACAATTGCACCCATGCATTCTTCTTTGCATATGCTTGAATTTTAATCCACCAGTATCGCTTATCAGGCACGTTGAAATCCTTTCGAAGAATGTCAGCATCTTTCTCGTATTGAATGATCAATGTTTCTAATGTATCAACTAACGATAAACCTTTCAGTTGAATTGTAAATAATTTCTTTTCTAGTTCATCTTGTTTGCTCACCAAACGAGCTTCGTCTTCAGCTAACTGAAAATAAATGGATGATGATCGAATGTGTACTTTGTACGATTTTACCTGAGCAACAGTGTCGTTTTTCACCTCGCGAAACAACTTTGAAGCACTGGTCAGTTCAGTTCTTTGATCCGATATTGTCTAACATCAGATTTAAGTTAAATAATGCGATCGAAAATGATGAGAACAGACTTACGATAGCTGTGGTGAATCTTTGAATAATATGCGAGTAAGCAACTCGTTCTCGTTCGCTGGAGTTTTGCTTTCTCAGTTCATTATGAAAATTATTTCGATCACGTTCTTCTAAACACTAAAACAGACCAATTCAAACAAGCGAAATCGATCATTTTCTCTCGTACTTGAAGCAATAAGCTCAGCGGTAAATTTTTCAGTTTCGCTAGTTTTAAATTGAAGTCAGTTAGAGACACGTCACCACTTGATTTTATTCTCATCAATACAAAAATAGCTAAAGGGAGAAATCGATGATTTTATTCAAAATGAAAACGTTATGCTCACCTAGATCCGTATCACCACACGCAAGTGCTTTATCCAAAGCTTCGTTTCGTTTATTCAACGTTAACAACATATCGATTTGATCGCTAAGACTAACTTTGACATCCAGTAACTAAATGTAAATCATTTATGATTCGAAATAACTTGGCAGATGCGTTATTTACTCGTTCAGCAACAATGTATTTCTTTGCTTGATTTGCCGCTTTGACAATATCTATAAATGGAATACCAGGAACATTGGCAAGACTTTTTTTTATCGATTCAGCTATAGCTTCTTCATTGGTGTTCGCAGGATCATTGAGCTAAATGCATCGCACTAGTAATCTTTTGAAAAAGTGACATTTTTGCATACTTGTTGTACAGCCCATTGTACGAGAATTCGATTTTCTCCTTCTTCCGGTGGCATACGTAACAATTTCGTAACATGTGTTGCGAATTCGTGCAGATTACGTCGAAGTAAACGATCGATCAGTATCCGTGTTCCAAGTAGTTCAAATCTAGATTGAATTCAATGAGCAAAAGACAACAAAATACTTATTCAAATCTCGAACTGTTTATATGTTATTGGAATGGATATATCAATGTGATGTAAGTTGTTGACTAGATGTAGATTACGAATTGTATTCGTACATAAATCGTTGATGACAGATACAGTTGGACGAACGGAAGTTTTCGGTTGATTTAAATTAACACATAAGAACGAACGACCGAAAAGTGCGGCCTAATAGAAAATATTCAGTGAAATTGATCGATTTAGCAGAAGTTTTGTTCTGACTTTCAGAAGGATCTTTTGGTTTTTTGATTCATGTTCATGAGACGCTGCTGCGATACATTGTTTCACACCTTCTTCGAGTCCATTGGTTGTTCGAGTTGATTTTAATTGATTTAACAGCAATTCAGCCATTTGATTTTCATACTGAAAATCGATTTGTATTTCCAACACGAGTTTTTCGTCAATAGAAAATGTTACTTTGTAGTTCATGTAAGCGGAATAAAGCTTAGCACCAGGACTATCGGATAGTAGATGAAAAACATTGTAGATTTCGTCGGGTAAACGTTGAAAGAAATCAAGTGATCGACCCGATGCGATTCGAATGCCATCAATTTCAGTTGTTAGATACACAGGGGATGTATAATAAACACTTGAAAGCAGATTTCAGTGAAAATATCAGAAGTGAAGATTTCCAACTTACAAATCATCGGAAATTGCTTGACGACTTTGTTCACTAAGAAAACAAGTGTTACATTAGACAAATGATAAAACATGAAACGAACGTCATCGGTCGCGAATGTTTGCCATTGATGACCAATAAATCAAACCAAACTTTTGATTTAACTCGAACGCCAATGACTGTATCGGAGCCGGACCTTTCAAAACACAAGCACTTCTTGTATAAAAATCGTCGAATGATTCTTCCTCTTACCAAGCAATATCGGTGACTTTTGCCTTATCATTATTACTTGAATATTTCAATACAAATGATTGTGGACTTCCGATATTTTCTCTCGAACCAATAAACACATCTCCATTATCACGTAATACAGCTATACTTTTGTAATTGCTGCTTGATACTAACTTAACAATCGTATCAGTTATACCAGGAATGATTTGCTAGAAGGTAAAACTTTTTTTTTCTTGTGAAGGAAATTGTCCGTTTACTTGTTCTCGTCGAGACGTCGTACCACATGTGGCTATGATATTGTCGTAAGCGTAAGCTATAGTCAACTCAGCATGGTCAATAACACACCATGCAGATATTGTTGAACGGAGATCAGCACCTAAAAAACCGATAGTTAGGTTTTGTTGGAATAATCGTGAGTCTTACTAGGTGATATCGTTTGAATAATTGGACTATAGACGTTTTTAACAGTAATGAAACTTTCTTGATTCTTGGCTAGGGCAACTAGACCAGTACCTTGATTGGTTTTAAATGTACATGCACTACTAATAACTGAAACGGACTAAATAGTCGCGTGATGCAATCGTAAGAGTAATTCCAAATGAAACTTACTTCACCCAATTGCTTTGACACATCGTTACTTGCGTTATAATGGAATATATTCATGATATGATATTTACCATCTTCAGTCACTAATAATAAATCTTCATTGATTGTCCAGTCGACGAAAATAACTATTCCTCGATCGAACTAAACAGTTTATTAACAACAGTTTTCAATTTGAACGGCGTTGCTCGGCTTACCTCTTTGGGTTTCACAGCAAGTTTCGGTAAATGCTCTATCATTATTGTATATTTAGTATCGTTTAGGTTCGTTGACAGTCTCTTATATACAAAAGCTATAGTGAACAAAAGTATTAAACGATTAACTTAAACAACAACTGATCGTTTACCAACTGGTCCTCCACATGGAGCTATTGCAACAAAAGGTTTAATAGTATCGCTTGCCGAACCACGAACATCTCGAATTTGAGCCAAACCACCAGTCAGCACAGTTGATTCCACCTTTCTGTGTTGAAAGAGAAAGTTAAGATACCATAGTAGACATTCGTCCTCGAATTAACTTTAGGTGTGGACGTAGACATACCTATAGCTAATTTCATCATAAATACGCCATGACGCCGTGACGTCCGTCATTTGCTCGCGCATATCAAGTTCAGTCATCTAGAAATATACAATACATACAAGACTACATCAAACAAATTTTGATAAATATGGCGGAGTAGATCAATATCAACGAAGGAAGAAGGCTGTTCATCGTTTTTGTGGTTTCGCTAATTCTTTTGTTTGTTGTTCAGCTGTTTTTACAAATCCAGCTGGATCATCATTCCATTCGATAAGTAATCCTGGCCGATGAGGTTCGTCCACATCTTCTAAATGTGTAATATAATAATCGATTTCCACAAGTATATCACGTAATTGGACGGAATTTGTTGGATATGACTGCCAGCGTTGAAGAATCGGTAAACACGACAACGTGCCTGATTCGTCAACGATAGGACTATAAATCGGCGTACGAAATTTGACACGCGGTGTCGTGGATGGATAATCCAGTGGCAAACTTATCTCGATTTCAAATTCTCCACCAAGGTAAGGAGATTGTTGAGGCGTATAGATAAATATCGGATGAGTGAGATCCGTTTCATGAATGGCATCACAGGTTGATGCATCGAGTTTTTTCTTTATGAAAAATAGCCGATCGGATTTGAAAGTTTCATCAATATGAGCAAGATCTTTTAGTAAACGTATATGCTTCGATGCCATCTAAAAGAGAATGACAGAACGGTTTCATTCGTGCATGAGTCATGCCCGAAAGCATCAATTGACTGCTGCTAAAAACAAGTATGCAAAGTAAGAAGAAAAACACAACATCGTCATGTGACGGTTTTTTTTATTCTTTGAGTTTTATTTATTTTCTTTCGCCAATCATGAAAAATAAAAATACAAGGGTGATCTTTCTTTTGAATGCTTTCGGACACCGAACTAAGTGTTACACATAGACACGATTGTGTTTGTCTTTTGTGTATCCAAATCACAGTTGATTTTTTAGATAAGAACGAAATAATAAAAGCCGAACCGGAAGGGGGAAGAAAGAAACAAAAAGTTTTTTGGTGTTCGTATATTACTGGCGCGGTAAACCGTGTTTTTTCACCATTTCCAATGCTTTGCGTTCAAATGTCGATTTATTCTGCGCATATTCGGCAGCGATATCTACAGAAAATCGATGAAAGAGAAAAATTTATTTTTCGCAAAATAATAACGTACCAAGATTGAGTGCATGTTCGATGTTTGGACTATCAATCAAATTGGCTACAGCTTTGACAACGTCAGTCAAAGGTGTTGTAGGCTTGAAATTTTCTGATATGTTGATTAACTCAACACATGTTTTGCCATTTTCGTCGACATTGGGATGATAAATGGGCGTGACGAAACGAAGTTCAGGTGGCTTGAATGGGTAGTCTGTTGGCAACTTGATTTCTATTTGAAACGCTGCTTGGTTGTAAATGTTAGATTTAGGTAAAATTCTTCCCAGAATGATATTCGATGACGGATCATCGATAGGCGATTTATCAAGAAGAAATTTGCATTCGCTGCTCGATGCTAATGCTTGAAGTTTGGTTATTTCACTCAAGACACGTCTGTTTGTTACCGAACCCGCCATAGATTTCTATCTAAAAGTAGATAAAAGTAAAATGCACTGATTTGCTATTTGATCTTATGATTTCTTCCCATGACTCTACAAAGGATACTTCTATTTTTTCCATGGGTAAATACACTCTTTGCTTTTCATCCACGTATAAGAAGAATTCAAACAGTAATAATTACTCATAAGCATATGATTTCTAAGCGATTGTGCAATCCTGTTGTGTATTTAGTAAAAGAAAAGATATGATGATAAATAAAAAAACAATCTATCACATTTTTTTCTCGTCAGAAACGTTGATGTGGAAAAGCAGAATGTAAAAACCTGATAGTTGAAGAAAAAGAAGAAAAAAGGACTCGTTGTTGGATCCTTCGCGAAAAAACAACATAGCTGCTGTTGCTGCTTGTGACGTAAAGCGAAGAGCGAATGGGTTAGATGACTTCTTCAGCCAATGAAATAACGTCGCTATATTCGTCGGCAAAATAGAAATGATAATGTTTCTTTTTTCGCTGAAGATAAACTTACGAACTAGGCGACACTTTTTCTCAGTTGTTTCACCTTTAATGCCAGATTTTAATAAGAAACACGCTTTTCCTTAAATCATAAAGTAGATTTGACAATCTATTAGATGTGATTGTCCTCTTGAAGGTGGTTTTGACAAGTTAAGAAGAAAAGTGATGAATGACCTGCAACATTGTGTGGTAGTCGCTTCCATTCCTTGTCTATGGTAGTAAAAACACGAGAAAAATTTCAATCCAACATCGTCCATTTGAACATTGGGTATCTCTAGAAACGAAGTGTTGTCTGAAATAGTAACGGATATTCTCAACATTCCGAGGGCACTAAGATAATTCATAATGATTTATCATCTACAAACTGAAATTCAATCCAGGTTCTATTGCATGTGTTATCTCTGTTTATTTTCGTCTTTTCTGTAGACATATTCGATTAATTGCACAAACGCGTGTAAGATACACGACATACTTTTGCATACAAATCATTAACAAACTTTTTCAATGGAAATCTCGTTAGTGTTTTGACTATTTTTAGTTTCAATGGGCGAAGCTTATCTAAATTTACAGCTTTTGAATGCAATAAGAATATCTCATTCTTGATAAGATCAAAATGTATACACTAAGCCTGTTTTATTTTTTTAGCATTCGAAAAAAACATCAAAGTTCATATACTCGGTCGTTTAGTTTCGCGGCAGTCCATTTTTTCTAACAGATTCTATTGCTTTACGTTTGAATTCAGCTGGCTCTTCGGCGTACTCCTTGCCCACTTCTAAAAATACGGAAGTTAACCGAGAAAATTAACAAGAAATTAAAAGACGCACCAAAGGTTATCGTTTGATCAACGTCTGGTTTATCAATCCTGTCCACAATTGCTTTCACTACATCGATCAGAGTAGTATTCGACTTCCATTCCACTGTTTTTTTCAATACTTCGTGACAAAATTTCCCTAGGAAAGACAGCCAAGATTATTCACATGCTTTCCGAAGAGCATCTTACCATCGACGCCAACGTTGGGATGATAAATAGGAGTAAGAAATCGAACTTCAGGTGGTTCCAGAGGATATGTTTTGTGTAAGCCTAATTCAATTTCAAACGCTGCTTCCTTGTAGATATCAGAATTTGGATATATACATCCAGTAAGCTTATGAGTTTTATCGACAGCGCTTGCTTCTTCTTTGGTGTCGCATTCATCTTCGTCGTCGTCGTCGAATGGTGATTTTTTCAAGCGAAATCGCACCGGTGCATTTGGTGTATTACAACGTGACAAATCCTGGACTTGTTTGTGAAGAACTCTATTCAATCTAGGGTCGCTCATGTCGAGTTTTATCTGAAAAAGTCAAACAATATGAAAAATATTTTTCCTGAACAGCAGTGACACGTTGTCCATAGCTCGCCGACTATCTGTGCTGAAAAGTGCGTGACACAAAAAAACCAGCTATTTATCTAACTCGTCAGCGTACAAAACAAATACAAAAATGAGAGCGATAAAAGGAGAAAAGCGACGTTTCGAAGCATATTCGCTACAGTACAGACGAAAACAGTGTTTTTCGTTTCTTCTCTCAACTTTCGAAGCGTCCGAGGAAGTAGAAGAACATACCCATCGTATGATATGTTCTCTATGCGTTAAAAATGAAATTCTCTTATTTGAATTATAACCTATACTTAGTCGAAGAAGTATTACAAAAAAATGAAAAATGTCGTTTTCTTCTCGCACGTTACACAGAAACTCTATATTCTACGATGAGAACAAACTAAAAAAAGACAAGACCAACAAGAGTACGAAATTTTAACCCACTTGTATAGGTTTTCACCAGCTAAGTACTTCAATAGGTTGTGCAACAGATAGGAGTACGCCGCTTTTAAGAAAAGAACCTATACTTATACATAGGATCACGACATAATATATAGCTGACAAGTCGAAACAAAAAAAAACGGATGTGACTTGCATCTACTGGGTTTTTTCCAACAACTTTGATCTTACTCTGAAAGACACTATTTTCGTACATCGATTGTGTTGGAAATAATCGCATGATACTGAACTGCTTCTTCGGTTGTATGTTTCGATTCATTCACCACTCTGAGTACTAATTTTCGCAGTAAAATTCTCCATATCCTACTATCTTCGTTGGACTATATATACCTGTTTGGATGTAAAGAGCGAATCAAGCGTTTAAAAAGAGAAGCACGTTGTTAACGACACTATTTTTTCCAACATAGAACAGAAAGAAAACGCACAAGCTTCATTCTTTCTTCAGTTTTTTTCCAACCAATGGCTTCTTACAAGCTTTACATGAGTAATAGTTGAATGAAAGAATGACTAACAGAGTACGAAGATGAATAACGATATATCTTTTTAATGATGATGTTTCTTCGTTAGCTAACGTAGGATGTGATGTATTATCATAACTATCGAAAATCGGAAAGAAAATTCCCATCGATTTTTCATCATCAAATCAAAAGAGGTATTTCTTAGGTTGGTTATTGAATGATGAATCAACGCAGTAATCATGTGAATCGATATCAACATCAAATTCTTCTTTGGGACACTATTTATTTTAAAAGATATCTATCACAAATGCTGATTGATATGACCGAATGCTTTGAGGATGTCTAAATTGTATACGTAAAGCGATAAACAAGAGCAAAACGCCAAGCAAAAAAGAAAAAAAATCGTTTGATTATGCATGTTTTTACGTGTGATGATGTTTATTTAACGATACAACGAAGCAATCATTTACGTGGTTCGCCATATTTTAAAGCGTGTTCTCTTGCGTTGCTCTCGAACTGAGCTCGATTATTTGTGTACTCAACACCCACAGCTAGAAACATATCACCGTTTGTATATTTAAAAAATGATTGAAAGAAATCGAATACTAACCTGCTCGGATCGGATTAGTAGAATCAGGCTCATCGATATGCTGAGTAACGATTTTAACAACTTCGAGCAAAGATGTAGTTGATAACCACTTGCTGTTTCTTGTTAACAGTTCATTACAGAACTCTCCTATATGCATTACTAGAGTCAAGAATGAATCAGCCGGTTTTACCCTACCTTTGTCTGTCACATTTGGATGATAGATTGGAGTAACAAAAGTGACGGTGGGCGGAACCATTGGAAACGTTTGAGGAAATATGATTTTAATTTTGAATGCAACGTCTTTGTATATATTCGATTGAGGATAGATTAGACCAATTAGTCCACATTCTTTTTGCGCAACACTCTTGGGCATGTCGTCGTCGTCGTCTTCTTCATCGGAGAATGGTGACTGTACTACTTTGAATCGAACTTCGGCATCTTCTGTATTCAAACGCTTCAATCCAGCAATATCTTGGTACAAACGTTTATTTAGTATTCTCGATCGCGACATGTAGACAATTTCGGGCTGCTTGTTGACTTGTGTGGAATGATTGAAATCGTATAGAAAAAGCAGTGTTTCGTATTAGTTAATGCTCTCAATCTCTTCGGCGATGAAAATAGCAAACGAAAAATGTTCTTTATATATAAGTAGACGTTATTAATGCAAAATAAGATGAGAGCAATGCTGCCTAATTACTTTATTTACTTCCTTGTCGAATATTTCGCGTATATTCGCATTACATCCGAATCACACAAAGTAAAAACACAAAAATATCTAGGGACCTATGACGTATTCTATTCTCACACACTCATGCCTTCGTCCTTCCACAAGCCGAACTTGAAATTCATACAAAACAAGATACGCAATTGATTTCACGTCTCATTGCACGCATATCGATTTATTGATTAATTATCTGTGCATCTTCAATCATTAAATGATTTATTACTTTGTTGTTTCATCGTATTTTGCATGGAGCTGTGACATAAGTTCACTTTCACTCATAAATATGTTTATTCTAGTGTGAATAAAAAACAGAGTAAATACATTCAATTCCCAGAAAAAATACTGCTTTTAATTTCGAGGCAACTTGTGTTCATTGATCATCTTTGAGGCTTTGAGTTCAAATTCAGGTCTATTGTTCGTATACTCCTCGGCAATATCTACACGAGAAAAGTTGAGAAAAACTATTGAAGACAAGCGTAAGCTTTAGTTAAAGATACGAACCAAGATTGATTGCATAATCGAGATCCGGATTAGCCACATGTTCGACAACAGCTTTGACTACTTCAACCAAAGATGTATGCGGTTTCCATCGTAAACTTTTCACCAATAACGGATGACAAAATTTGCCTTCGAGTAATGTGAAAGGATAATCAAATTATCGATCAAAGTTTACTTATTTACCATCTTTTGTTATATTTGGGTGATAAATAGGAGTCAGAAATCTTACTTCAGGTGGGTCGGCAGGATACTTGGATGTGAGTTTGATTTCTATTTTGAAAGCACTTTCTTTAAATGTATCACAATTTGGAAATATTCGTCCAATAATCAGTAGTTCTGTTTGCTCTTTTCCAGATTCGTCATTCTCATCGTCGTCATCTTCACGAAATGGCGATTTATCGAGTACGAACTTGAATGGCGTATTGTCTTTGTTCAATAACTTTAGCTCAGTGAGATTCCTCCAAAGAGTTTTGTTTAATCTACTGGGTTGAGTCATGTAGATTATTCGTAATTCTGAAATTTGCCATTTGCCACGATATGCTCTTATATAGACAGCGACAACACGGTACAAAGGATTTGTATATGCTTTTTTTTCTTTTCTTATGGGTAGAAAACCATCAACAAAGTACTTTGATAACAATAGAAAAGGGGCATTGTTGGCTTTTTCCAAACATATCAAATTTCGAATGATAAAATCAACATGAAAAAGATGGGTTTGATCCCTCCGTTTCTCCTTCTCATTTTTTTATTGTCATGTAAAGCCAATAGTATTTAAATATGTAACAAAATGTGTTTTAGATCGTTTTTATTTCTTAACAAAGAAAAGCGAATTAGTAGAGCGAATTTTGCGATAGTCCGCTTTCTCCCGAATCAAACGATCGTGCACGTCCGCGTCGTTTTTTCTTCTTGAATAAATAATAAGTAGCACCAATTATACATCCCAAAAACAGTACCACAACAGTAATAATAACGACATAACCCATCATTCCACTAGATTTTTCTACAGAACAATTCATTGTCCATCAATTTAGCAATTATCAATCATCATACTTTCTAATGCTTCGGGTATATCTGTAGAGATAGAAAGTCTTATTTGATTTTAAACAGATTTGTTTTCAATACCTGTACTAGTTTCAAGCGGTGGAGGATCTACGATTTTTGGGAGCATAGATATTTTCCTAAGTTCATAGAACAAGTTTACTTACGAACTTCACAAAGTGTATACGATTCCCAACTGCAAAACCAATCATGCATGCAAACAGAACCATCTTTGAACAGGGCTAAACCGACGCATGCTTGACGCTCTCCAGTGGCTTTTAATTGCACATAATTTGGTTCATGTCCAAGAGGTGAGCTTTGTCCACTATTTACTTCGAACAGAGTAAGAAATCGATGGAATACAACAATGTGTTTACCACCAATGTTGATTTTTTTTAGTTAGAGTTGGCCCATCAGCGACAAGATTGAAACGTCCGTTTCCACGCCAATCGGCTAATTTAATTCCAAGCCATATACTAGCGAAATAGGTACCATCTTGTGGTACTCGTTGAGGCATTCTATATCAAAATAGATTTCTTTGCGTATTCGCTGATTGAACGTACTCCATATCATTTGAAAGACTTTTGATGGACGCTTCCATCGAATAATACTATCCAAGAAGGTTTTCTAGTAAAATTTCATCTTTTGTTCCTCTATTACCTCTTCATCAGAACGGAAGACAAGTAAGTCGCCATCCTGTTCTTTACAACGTTCACGTGCACGTTCCCACGTCAATTGACTACCTTTAGTGTACACCAAATTAAAACATCTAGATCGAATACGCTGACGAGACATTTTACTAAGTCGATGTACATCACTCACTTCGTAGCTATAATCGATTGTTCAAATCGAACATGGATAAAAAATGATAGCTTTTACCTGTATTATAATATCCAGTTGGGCATGGATGACATTTCTCGTTTGCCTTCAATAACAGCATTAAAATCTTTATCAAACTCATTGTTAATTATACCCAAAAAGTAAACTGATCTTTATCACGTGCTCTTCCCACCGGCGAACACAAACAACGCCCACCTATACACTTCAATGGTTCATCACATAGCGGTTTATTTCCTCCACAACTCTCATTAATTGCTTGAACTAATTATTAAGTTTAACATACACGTTTAAAAACAAAGTATATTTTTACTACCATATCGATTTGGAATGAACGCAAGTAGACTAAACATGAAGAACTCAATGATATATGACATAGATTATAAACACAGATAACAACAATAGATTTGGCGCTAAAACTGCATCTCGTTTATACAGTCCATACTGTATTTTACTGAAAACAATGCAAAACTCTTCATTACTTCAGTCATGATCTAGAACAACTTCGATCGAAGTCGGATTTCTGCGTGATCATCTGTTTTTTAATTTCATAACTATCCATGCAAACCCGAGACAACAACAACATATCACGCCTACAAATATCATTCCTCCGACAGTCAAAATCAACCATGATGGTACTTGATAACCTAGACGAAAGGTTTTATTTGAGTGTTGACAGATTAGGTCATTTTACCTCCTACAACAAGCGGTTCAGCTTCTTCTTCTTCTTCCCCTGCTGCTGCTAAAGGTAACTGGATGTCTAAACGAAGACATATCTGTGTTTCGTAAAGATAATTTCTAAATTCGACAAACTCACTTGGTAGTTCGGAGTCCGGAGGTATTTCAAAATCAACTATGAATGAAGGAATATTGTTGAATGAATTGAATGTTAGTTATTACAACTCACATTGAGAAACATAAGCTTGAATTTCTGCTTTTTGAGCTTCTAGTGCTTCTTTTTCTTTCTTTTTTTTAACTTGGTCGTCAATAATACACCATATCAATATGACACACTTCCACCATGTTAATCTTTCTATCGTGTTTTCAATTAATTCTTTCGCTGTCAATGCCGTACCTGCAAACCTTCACTATTATCTTTAACTTAACGAACTGGTCCCAACTCACTTTCACATATAAATGGATGATTTTCTGTACACGAAACTCTTTTTAAGCATAATGATTGATCTCCTGAACGCATAGTGATTATCATACAATTAAACTCGAGATCTTCCTTCGTTGTACTCATACTGTCACATAGATCATCATTTGACCATTCTAAATGAATGTATTCACGTCTCATGTCTCCATTGATAATCAATCTTCATTCGTTTTCTCTTACTCGCCTTGCCAATCCATGAACCACGTTGAATATAATCAAAATCAATTTGATCAATCTTCTCTAAATCATAGATTTTATTCTCAATTGACCGCAATTTATTCGATTGTGTCAATGTTAACAGCTGTGCGCTAGTACTTTGACATCCTTTATATCCATCGTACCATGGCACATCGCCGATTTCTGACGTAGCAAACATAACGCAAAGTGACTGTTGAGAAAGATAATGCCAATTAGATTGGCATTGAGTTCGAAATGATAGATTATCTATGATTACATAATGAATCGAAAGACAACACTTTCGGACAAGTGTACCTGATGCTTGATGAAAATGAAACATGAAAACGAATAGGAACACAAATCTTAGCATGTTGAATAGAAGATGATGAATATATTCGCGCTAGTTTACTGATGAATTGAAACTTTTTCATCAAGGTTATTTTCTGACAGGTCATTAGTTCATCGAACAGAGCATGTTTGTATCGTTTGAACATGATCATGGTCATTCAGATGATATCAATTTTGACACGAGGCTGCGTACGAATAAACAATAATTGACGCATTTATATAGAAAAAAAACTCATTGATCAATCGACGCACACTGTGCAATTGATATCTACGCATAAAAAGAAAGTTTTGTTGATTCAATGTAAAGATCAGATTCTGCACTTTATCCTTCTAGCAAACGGAAACTCAATACGATCGAGAACGAAGGGATTACGTTAAGTTCGCAAAACGAACGAGAAGGACTTCGGAACTTTCTTTTTCGAACTGAAGAAATTCGAAATACGTTTCTTCTGTTTATATTTCACAGATAAATGACACTATCTATTGCGCAGCGATGATATAACTTAAACAGAGAACTTATGGAGAGCAGTTGTTACTGTTTATCTCTGTCAGCAAGTGCGTTAGATCGTATTTCATGGTCATATTATCAGTTCTACGATTGCAAATAAATAATTCGTGCTTCCGTTTCCCTTCAACTGAATCCAATTGCAGAAGATTATATTGAGACGATGAAAATCTTCGAAAACATTCTGCTGCATCATGCGATCGGTCTACTAGACAACATATGCGTAGGGAGAGAATGTATTTTGTTCTTTTTTTTAACAAGGATACTGTCAACAGTCGATCTAGTCTATCATCTATGTATGTAGTAATTATCAGATAATGTCATTGTTAGTAACATTGACAAACAAACCAGTAAATAGTTGATATTTTTCTCCTTGAGGCGTTTTTAAAGATGAAATTCTTTTCCTGACCTTTTCGAAAATATTTCGTTGATATTTAAAGCAATGTTCAAGGTCTTCCTCTAGTTTATTAGACATGTTTCATATTGGTTTTCTTTGCATGAAGTTTCCTGCAAACGAACTTTTCAAGTAGCACAAATGAAATACAAGGGACAAGAAGAAAAGAGTTGAAAACAACAAAAATAATAGACAAAAAAACAGTAGTAGATTAAACCCATTGAAAAAGAGAAAGAAACAAAACGAACACGCACAAAAAGTAATCGAGAACTAATTCTTACACAGAAAAACAAACCAACTATTTATCCGTATGCGGTGTTTTCTACCTTTTTCTTCATTTATATTTGTATTTATACGTGTGTGTCTGGTTTATTAGCAGAGCAGTAATAGGAAAATGACAAAAAAAAACTGAAGAGAAGATAAAAGCGGTTTAACCTAAAAAGATATATGAAAAATGTTATGATCTTGTGTTCGATGGCAAAGAAGAGAAAAGACAAGAAGATTTTCACAGAATTTCAAAAAGATGAGTTCGATAATATAATAATAACAGTCAAAGACAAGTTGTCTATATACGAAAAACACACAATTACACACACACACACACACACAAACTTCTCTATGTCTAGAAAGAACAACAGACAAGATAAGGGTAAAGGAATTTTCATTTCTAATTTAATAAAAGGAACAAAAAGAGACAAAAAAAGAAAAAGGATGAGCCGGTGTTTTCTTGATCGTCGTCGAGAATGAATATCGGTAGTGTTATCATTTAATTTATTGGAATCTCTGATTGAATACAGCTTTTTCATCTCCTTTCTCATCGAGAAGTCGTGTAATCATGTTCGAACCTGTACCCCATGTTTGAACACCTTCGGCTACTAATGTTTCTTTTTCATTGATTGAACCTTTACTTGCATTGCGACTTAAAATGCGAAGACGTGATCGTGATTTAAGTACGAAATTATCCGGAAATTTATAAACAAGATCTTCTTTGTTGTCAATCTTGCGTCGTAATGACCAGCCCTTCATGTCTTGATCTTTACCTGTTGAACCGGCATTCTCGATAACGATAAAATTACCTTGCGGATCTACCTGATCGATAGCAATAGGACCTAAAGAGAAATAATTGTCGTGTTTTCGGTCTTTGTTTCAAAGATGATAGTCAGTCATGCTCGTTTCAATGTCGAGTAAGACAGAAAGACTTGCGACGTTTTTCGCTATTCAGAAAAGAAATATCTCACGCATTAAACAAAGTGATGAAAAAATGCGTGCTAATGATAAACGACGACGGCGACAGTGGACGGTGTTGAAAAAATAAAAAGTATACATATTAAATTAATCAATGATACACACGAACAAATTAATAATTAGTTATGCATCGTAATGTAGTGAAGCAAAAAAGAAATAATCAAGGTTTTTTATTTATATATTGATATTGATATATGCATATATAAATGTATGAATGTTTTTTTTTCAAAGCATGAGCTCCCGCTATGTGTGATTTGACGAGCAAATAGAAAACAAAATATGATTATGGGGAAAAAAAAACAAAGCTCACACTTATACTTAAGAACAGAAAAAAGGAGGTCTGTATTGGAAGATTTAAGTTTTAGTAGTCTAAACAGAAAAAATAAANATAGTCATTAACGAGAAAGGAATACAATATAAGTCAGTAACAAACAATTGTTCATTGGAAATACGAGATATGATCGATAGATCTTTCGTTTTTCTTTCTTGTACAGACGAAAATAATTTCATTTCGCCTTCTTTGCTAATATATCATATGCAGAGAAAATAAGGCTCAAAAATAAACACAATTCATCCATATATATATATAATAAATGTAAATAATTTCCTTTCGAATGAAGTACTTGAATTTTATTTTGCGAGGAAAAGATAGACGAAGGATTAAGTAGTATGCCCTTAAAAAGCAATTATTCAAGCTTTGCATGAATCAGTAGCGAAAATAACCGACCGACGTCATTCGGTTTTGAAGGGAAAGAGAAAACGTTGGTAAATTGTTGAAGCAAAAATTTCAAGTAAAAGAATACGTTTTATCTCATCTTTCACAATTTTTCTTCTTTCTCCTTCTGTGTTTCGTATACGAAACATACAACTGATGACTGCGACCTTGTTGATCGGTATATCTTTACATACTTCACATTACTTCTAGCTGTGCGCTCGTTTACGCATTCAAACACTCTAATCTCTTCTCATATGCAAACTAAGAAAAAAAGAAGAAAAAAACAAGCTGTCGTCCTGCATAACTCATTTTCATATTTCTCATTAAACCTACCTTTAGAAGAAAAAAAAAACGAAAAACGAAGGCGACGCAGAATTCCATTCGAATCTTCTATACATATATATTATACTGACATACGATCAAGTGTTTTATACAAAAATGTGAAAAAGACGAGAAAAAGAAAAACACTTCAAGATACTATTTGAAATAATACTTTTAGAGCATAAAATAACAAACTTCATTTCGATTGAAAGACAAAAATCAAAATAAAAACTAGTCTTTTACATTTGTACACAAGAAATTATTCATAGGCGCAACCAAAAGTTTCCTACCGGTTCGTCATCCATATTATCGAAAGAGTACATGTTTCGTCGAGTTTTAGACCATTTACGGAGATCGTGCGAATGGCCACCTAAGTCAGGATACATTTTTGAATAAATTTCGAGTTCTTTCAAGAAGTTGAACGATTCCTTATAAGCTGTTTTCTTTATTCGAGCCGCACACTTTAATGCTTCCCATATCTCTTCATCTTGTTCATCGGATTTTACATTCAAATCAATACGATTTTTATCGATAATTGTTGACCAATGGCAATAGATCGTCTGTAGTATACAAATTAGAATTATACGATATAGATTTATGTGGAAAACTTACGTATAAAACGTTGATATAAGCGGTTCGAGCGTCTCCAATTTGTAAATAGAGTCGAGCACGAATTAGAGCTTGTTTAAGAACTTCTTTGAAGTTAGGCAATTGTTGAGCAAGTTTAGTTAATTTTTTTATATCATCTTCGTTCTCGACGGAACCGTTGTGAAATAATGATTTAGGTAATAAAGTACCAAGAATAGTCACGTAACACGCACCGATGACACGTAAAATGGCGACGAAACGGTCTCCGTCATCCATACCAACAAAATTATCTGCTTCTTTAAGCACTATTGTTAATGCTTCTAGACGACGAAAGGCTGTGATGCAATTAGCGCTGTTCATTTGGCCCTTATGTTTAAGTAATGTTCCTTTCGCTAGATCGATAAGACAATTTTCCAGGACTTCCAGTTCACCATAACAAACAAAGTCATTATGAATGTACATCTAACAAGACATTCGATATACATATGTTTTTGTGGACAATGAGAAACGTACATTGTATGCATCAGGATTGACATGTCGAAGCGCTTGTAGATATTTTCGACTCCAAAAACGGGCTGTTCGAGAGACCATACTAAGATCTGTTCCTTCGTATATGAAATATTCTTTGTGTTTTGGATGAATTGTTCCTTCATTGAGTTCGATCACTTGGGAAATTGAAATGGGACCTTCCTCTTCCTCTTCTTCTTCTACTACTTCGTCTTCTTCATCCTCTTCTCCATCCGAATCGTGCTCGACCTCCTTTTCGTCTTCATGGTCATTTGTTTGAGCAATTAATTTCGGTTTCTTAGCTGGAAGAGGATCATTTGTAGTAGCTGAATTGGATTCGGATTCGTTTTCCTTGTTTTCCACATCAAGTGATCGTTTGGTCATTCTTGTTTGTAATTCGATAAAATAATAGATTATTCGTAGAATAAAACTCGGATAATTTGATCATATACAGTGAATGCTAACGATTATATAGATAGTATAGAACGAACAAGAAAGAAATACTATATTTGAATTGGGATGGCGCTAGTGCGGCTTATCTTCGAAAGATGGAATATATGTTTAAGATTGTAAACTTAGAGAAATCGAGAAGTTTCGACTTTTGTTAAGAAAAAAACAAGAAATGATTAAAATACAAAATATCACGAGTCATTCGGAAAGTATCGATATTCGTTCGCTTGTTAGATAAGCGTCAAAGCAAGTCGAAGTTGTCGAGTGATATATCTGGATAATCGTTGTGAACAGTTTTCAACTTTTTCAGCTCGTTCATAAGCTTCGTTCAACGCAATCATCTGGAGATAGTTTGCACTCTAAGGAACAATGAGTTTTGAAGACGAGTTATCATATAGAATTCGTATCCTACTAGATCGGAATCGCTTTCCGACGATGAGATGGATTGAGTATATCGGCACGATTGAGTTCGTTGTCTTTAATATTATAAAAAAAAAGAATCAGTGCAAGTGACAAGGTACAGCACTGCACGTACTTGTGACCACTTTCATATCCGAGATCATCTGCTTGAGTAGCCGATTCTCGTGTCACTGAAGTACCGTGGCGACTAGAATGAACAGCTGAGTCAGTAGAGCTTCGAACGATTTTCCAATACAAACCGATGATGATATGGTGTCACACTTCCACATTTTCCGCAACGATAAACTTTCTTTTGAGAGGTTGTTGATTGATCGACTGTAATCGAATTTCGCGGTTCATTAGTTCGATATCGACTAGATAGAAACGATGAGATTTCAACTGGAAAAGAAGCTACTTTTGCTTACTAGATAACTCTTCTGTTGGTGTCGAAATAGAATTTTTCTGGTGTATGATTGATCAGCAATGAACTACGATGCACAATTGGCTGTGTTTTCACATCCGAATGAATTTGAGTGGTATTCAACGGATGATAAAGTTTGGTTTTGTTCTTTTCGATATCACCAACCCCGATCGATGCACTTCGATGAACGAATCCTATTCGTGCACGTTGTGGACTTGATGTTCGCTGCGGTTTCCAAATTTGATTACTCCGAAGTAGTTTTTTATTGTGCGACGGAAGTTGAGGTAATGGATCGAATGGATGAGTAACATAGGTATCAATTTCTGATAAGTAAGAGTCTATTGTAGAGGATATACAAAGAGAAAAGTATGAAAAAGGAAGAGATTACAATCTGTAGATTGATGACCCAGTCTCCTTTGACGTAGTGCTGGATTTGTGAATCTCTTGTTATGTTTACTTGAATGAGAAAAGAAGCCTTTCAAATCGCTTTTGTAAGTCTCACACACAAATATTTACCGATAAAGGCTTCCTGAATCTGAACCAGTCGAATGTAATGATGATGAAATTGATACTAAAAACAAATATTAACAATTTTGAAAACATCCGTCGGTTAATCTATCAGACCTTGATCTTCATCTAACGAATGTAATTGGCTTTCATCTACTGGACTGGCGTATTTACTGGAAAAAGCAATAGAGATTGTGCTTTTGATTTAAAAGCGAGAGTTGTGTACCTGTCAGAAGCAAGCTTTGTAACGGTATTCGTTCCTATGCCACTATCACAATCTTGAACGCGTGTTTTAGTTGAACAATACGAATTCCGAGTTGCATCGTTTGTTAAAACCATTGATGATTGCTTCATCTGTTCAACATCGCTCGGAGTATCCTATTTAAGATGATTTCCAATGGAAATTTGCATTTTGTTTGATACGATTTTACCTTAGGCTCTGGTTTTCTGATGTCTCCAAGCCGATGGTATTCTTGCGTACTCGGAGCAGTTTTCTTCGTCGGTCTTCTTGGCGAAATGTTAGGTTTCGAAGGTTCTTCTTGAATTTGATGTTGATGCTGTTCAACAGAACTTGAAGGTATGTAATGAAATTCGACTGAGGTTGATTCCACACTCTTTGTAAATGGTATAGGCGATATATTATCGCTCTGCGAAGGCTCATCATCTGAACCCTAAAAGAAGGTATATGAGAAATCCTCGTTGTACCACAAAGGAATGCGACCAATACAAAATCATTGAATTTATCGTGGTTGGCAAGAAAATTACGTACCGCAGATGTATAGACATATGGTTTTTGTTTATTGTCTTCTAAAATTTGATCATGGAATAAATCTGGTGGACATAAATGAGGAGAACTAAATAAATAAATAATGCAATTAGGTACAATGTGAATATCAATCGATCATAATACGTGATTTGCGATTTTTTCAAATCAGTCTCTAATTCATCCATCATCGATTTCAATCGATCGTTTTGCTCAGTATTTTCCGTGTTAACAGCTGTCAACAATTTCTTGTACTGTTCCATGAGATCATCGTGATTGCATAGCGAAGATCGATCATATTGGCTCTGTAAATATAAACCAATGCTATTTTCATCTTTCGAACAGTTCAGATTACCGAATGACTATCCTCGTAGATTGGAACACTGCGTCGGTCAGTTGGTGAATCATTACTCGACTTGCCAAACAAATTTCCTGTTATTCTTGATGCAATTTCTCTCAACAATTGTTTCATTAATTCCAATTCTGTATTCAAATCGCTAGTAGATGCAAATTATCATTTCGTATGAAAAGAAAATAGGATAGATTTAATTACCCATCGAGATCAACATCATTAAAATTGCCAGTCTGTTTTTTCTGCTCTAACTTTCGAATTAATTTCTCATAATCTTGTTTGATGTTTTCATAAACTTGTTTTTGTTCGGTTTGATTGACTTGATTTGCGCTCATTAATGTCAGGAGTGATTTCATCTATAACAGATAAAGTTTATTAAAAATCTCATATCAGGAGAACTTACATTGTCTCCTAGTGTCTTTGATTGAATAAGTAGATCGAGTTTTGCAGTTTCGGGTATCGGTAAATTTTGAACGGAACTTTTTTGTGAACTATTTTCCTCATAGAAAACCGAATCGACAGTACATGAATTGGCCGATGACATGCCAGAAAAATAACAAAAGAAAAAGCATTATATAAAATGGAAGAAGAAGAAGAAGAAACTGAACAAACAGGACATGTACTTCATCTTGAAGAAATGTACATACAGGTACGAAGATGTGTGAAGTGTTCGATTTTATGCTTACACAATCGATCTATCGAACTGTTTTTGATACAAGTTCGATGATTGCATGTCTTCTTATTATGTTTGTCTTGGACACTTTGGATGAGAATTACTTACTTTTAATAGTTGATGTTGTGGATAATGATGTTGGTTGTATCGATGATAAGGGTGGATCACTTGTGGAAGGACATATTCCACTAGATTTTGATAGCAATCGAGAATTGTTCGGTTGAAAACGTAGTTGATCAATCGTGTTTTCCGCTTGAGCATATTTTTCCAATAGTTCTTCATAGTTCTCGTGTAGTTTATGTAAAATTTCTGCTGTTCGTTTGCTCTGTCGTTTTTCTTCCTTTAGTTTTCGTTTCAAATCATCTTCTTTTAAGTTATTGGTTTCGACTTCGTCTTCACTATTATCATTGCTACTTGACAACGGATTGTTTGCCGAAGAAAAAACGACTTTTGGATGAATCGTAGGTAATAGTTGTTTCGGTTGGTCGTCTGTTGCGAAGAATTGAACTGGATTTGGATCTAATGATGAAATTTGTCTAGAAGATGACAATACACGTTAATTTGAACAAAGTTATCTTCATACTAAAACCAACCGTTTTTCTGGTATTCGAGTCGAATGAGAGGTCATTGATAGAGGTGAGGAATTTGATTGAATCGGAAATTGGACAGTAGTGCGATAGTCTTTTGTATTCATAGGAAGATTGGATATCGATGCAGCTGAGTCGAAATTTTCCGATGCTGATTTCCTCCAACTAGGAGAAAACTATCAAAGAAAGGATCAGATGTCATCAGATATTTCTAGTTTTACTTACAGCTTCTCGACGTCTCTTCGCACTTAGGAATGAGTTTTCATTCGATGCCATTTTCAACGGTTCAGGCTTAGTTGATTTAATATCATTTCGTATACTATGTCTTCTCCAAATATTATCGGACACTATTGAATATCGAGCTAATCGATTTCTAAAGCTTTCTCTTTCCTGTGTACTACCGTTAGAGTTTGAAACATAACTCGTTTTATCTTTAGTTGGATGTTCTAAAACACTATCCGTGTATGGGTAAGAATTTATACCACGATTGTTGTTTGTACTGCTTCTCGCATGAGTTTTCAACGATAAATCTGAGTTTTTATATAGTAAGAAAGACAATGATGATGGCATAGAAGTGTTTCGATTAGATTAATATGTTGAATGCATTGATTCTTTCTTTTTTTTCTCTCTATATTTTCAATAACAAATAGAGACGTAATGAATAGTGCAACCATCCATTAGTCTCCTTTCTTGAACCTTTATAATACCCTTCTTAAGATGAAGGACACATCTATATATTAAAGAAAGCTGAGAGGAAGAGAAGGAGCAATACTACTTGATTTTTCTTTCTTCTTTGTTTGATTTTCATTTTTAGAGTAAATGAATGACAAATCTGTTTATTCATTCCATGTGAAACCTTTTTCGGTACGAATGAAGAATTAACCTCCACTGAGAAAAAAAAGGCCATTTCGAAAGCTTGAAACTCAATAAATATCCATAGTCTAGACAAAATATTCTCCTTACTCTAATATAGAAATAATCTCTGAGCGAAATGAGAAGGAGATTAAGTCAGCTATTGTCATAGCAGCCCTTTCCAGTTTACTACATTACCTATTAATCATTTGAAAATGACTCGATAGAACTACTAATCAATTTCAGATCAGGTCACAATGCACCGATAAAAATCACCTTGAAACCTTTATACTATTTCAATCTAAACTGTAAAATGCATATAATTCGATTTTGTTAATCATGTATCTACCACTATGTTTCAACAACATACAACAGAGTCAAACATATTAAAAATAAGCAAATCAATCTCAAGCGCCATCTTCCCATTCTCCTTTAAAACGATTCACTCACTCATATATTCAATACATTTTCCAGTGTTTACCAAATGAATTGTAATTCTTGTTCTTGTATGTTTTCACATATACATCATTCAATTAAGTAAGAATGAATCTTGTCAACATTTCTGTGATTATTCCCATTTTCAGATTTGAACTAGATGACGTCGAAAAAGCAATATCCTAATATTATGATATGCGGAACGCATGGTAAATTATCACACATCGATTGTATTCCATTTATTTGTTCTTTTATACTATGTAGGTGTAGGTAAATCTCATCTATGTCAACAATTATGTTCATCCAATTCATCATTGAAACATATTGATATTACTGATTTGGCAAAACAACATAAATATCTTCTTGATTATGATGATGAAAACCAATGTAATATTCTGGATGATGATGCTATCGGTGATTATCTTGATGATCAATACTTTCAAAAATCATCGTCGTCCGGTCTTCTTATTGACTTTCACAGTGCTGGTATCATACCTGATAATAATCAAATACATGCAATATTTGTTTTACGTTGCAATAGTAATACATTGTCCGATCGATTAAAAGCTCGAAACTATCCGAAGAACAAATTAGAATATATTCTTCAATCAGAAACATTTCAATTGTGCCTGAATGAAGCACGTGAAGCATTTGATGAAGCGATGGTTTATGAACTTCAGAATGACTCAGAAGATGATTTGAAAAACAATCTGGAATATTTATTAAAATGGATTGATCAATGGCCATTCAATACTATGATGGAGTAATAACACAATATTTACGTTTACTGTTTTTCGTTTGTTACTTAGAATGATTGTTTAATAAATACTATCGAAAGAAGAAAGCTCTAATATATAAATCATGATTGATAGAAAACATAGTAAGGCTCTGATCGACATTCTCATCGGATTCAAAATTAATATAAACTGCATCTCATGACCATTCGTTCTTGCTGTCTCAGTGCACATGTAGATGATTGACAAGTCCCGTAACGGCGATCTCTCAATTAGTCGAACGTCTCTGGTTCTGAACAAATGACAATATGTAGAACAAAAAGTCACCAGTGCTGTCTGATTCTATTTAACTTGCTTTTATAAATGTTGTTTAGAACCGTTCAAATACAATCTCACTAGATTTTATTTTAAAAAGTTTTCAATAGTTTTACAATACGCTACCGTGGATACTGCATGTGATGCTGTTCTTTTTCGGTAACATGATGTATTTTCATTCGTGTGTTCTAAATATGCTTTCAGAAACTTGGCTGTACTAAAAGTTTCAATCCAAATCAAGAGGCAAACAACGGACTGCCGGATCCTTGAGAGTGCAATGAAAATTTAAAAAATTCAAGGAGTACTGAATCCGCCGTTTCTCCTTTGCCTCGATGACTAAAGAACCATCTGTTTCTATCTTTAATGCAACAATAAGATATTATATAGAGTGTGTCCAACGTCTTCAACCTGCCTATCGTTCAACTTTAATCAGTTATACACATTCTTTGGATAATTACAAGCTCGCAAGTACGAACAATCAATTACATATTGCTAACGCGTTAAACAGTATTGGAGGCGTGTATGATAACCGTGTTCTTACACTGAAATATTTTCGTGAAGCGCTTGCGATTGCGACGCATTTTACACCTTCCCATCATCAAGATCTGATGGTTTCTCACACAAGAGCTTTACTTGCTCCATTGCATATGGTTAAATATATTGATCTCCTACGCATAGCAGAGATAGCACTGGATGTCGGCAAATGAATACTCTCTAAAAAGAATATTACGTACAGTACCATACTCGATAACATTGCAGAGCTTTTATATAAAAAAGGCGATTAAAACCAACCTTTAGCGTTTTCACAGATTTTCTCGCATTATCGAACATAACATTTGAAACAAACATTACAGTGTTTGTTGCACTAACTCCAAGTTCCTTTTATAGCTTTGAACATGAGGATGTGTTACTGATAGTACTTGCCGCCCAATTTGAAGAGCGTCTTTGAAAAATAAATAGGCTTTTGAATATTCCCCCATGCGAGAATACACTAAACCGATGTTGTTGTAGGATGAAGCTACAGAAGGATGATTGGAAGGAAGTGATTGTAGTCGAATTTTGAGGGCCTCTTCATGTGAAACTAGTGCCTTTGAATATTGACCCATGTGAGAATACACTGCACCGATGTTGTTGTAGGATGAAGCTACATCTGGATGATTGGAAGGAAGTGATTGTAGTCGAATTTTGAGGGCCTCTTCATATGAAACTAGTGCCTTTGAATATTCACCCATGTCAGAATACGCTACGCCGATGTTGTTGTAGGATGAAGCTACATCTGGATGATTGGAAGGAAGTGATTGTAGTTGAATTTTGAGGGCCTCTTCATATGAAACTAGTGCCTTTGAATATTGACCCATATGAGAATACACTAAACCGATGTTGTTGTAGGATGAAGCTACATCTGGATGATTGGAAGGAAGTGATTGTAGTTCAATTTTGAGGGCCTCTTCATGTGAAACTAGTGCCTTTGAATATTCACCCATGTAAGAATACACTAAACCGATGTTATTGTAGGACGCAGCTACAGAAGGATGATTGGAAGGAAGTGATTGTAGTTGAATTTTGAGGGCCTCTTCATATGAAACTAGTGCCTTTGAATGTTCACCCATGTCAGAATACACTAAACCGATGTTGTTGTAGGATGAAGCTACATCTGGATGATTGGAAGGAAGTGATTGTAGTTTAATTTTGAGGGCCTCTTCATGTGAAACTAGTGCCTTTGAATATTCACCCATGTCAGAATAAACTGCACCGATGTTGCTGTAGGATGAAGCTACAGAAGGATGATTGGAAGGAAGTGATTGTAGTCTAATTTTGAGAGCCTCTTCATATGAAACTAGTGCCTTTGAATATTGACCCATGTGAGAATACACTGTACCGATGTTGTTGTAGGATGAAGCTACATCTGGATGATTGGAAGGAAGTGATTGTAGTCTAATTTTGAGAGCCTCTTCATATGAAACTAGTGCCTTTGAATATTCACCCATGTCAGAATACACTGCACCGATGCTGTTGTAGGATGAAGCTACAGAAGGATGATTGGAAGGAAGTGATTGTAGTTTAATTTTGAGGGCCTCTTCATATGAAACTAGTGCCTTTGAATATTGACCCATGTGAGAATACACTGTACCGATGTTGTTGTAGGATGAAGCTACATCTGGATGATTGGAAGGAAGTGATTGTAGTTGCAGTTGAAGAGATTTTTCAAATAGTGTTACACTCGCTTCATATTGTCCTTGATGGCATTTTATCGTGCCAAGTTCGTTATAAAGAATTTCCATACCGTCTGTAGATGTTCTTTCATTAATTAGTGATTTACAAATTCGTTCAGCAATATCTAAGTGCCCTATATCTCTTAGCACGGCACCTAATCGCTTCCATCCTTCTGTATTTGGAGAGCTTTCTTTTCGGATTTGCTCAGTAAGTACTCTCAATTCTTCATCATCACTATTACTCAACGATAAGTTTACTAAATACTCTTCTTCATTTTCTTCCATTGCCGTGATATTATCTATGCGAAAGATGCTGTGCATCGAAAAGAGAATTTCTTCTTCGTCCGAATATTTACTGATGTATTGAACGGAAGCGAATGTTGCGGTTGACTGTTTAGGATCAATTTCCATTACAAAAAGAACACTGACAACGCCACTGTGCTTTTGATCTTTTGGAAGATAAAGTTGGGAGACCTCGCGGTTCTTACTAGTAGACAAGAAGTTATTGAATGCCAACAATCCACCTTTGGATGCTACCAATTCATCAAAATCTTTTCTGGCCAAAGTTTGACCACGATAAACTGTGAAGCTTTCAGCACTGGGGACGTCCCGAAACTGCTGCTTGTGCAGCTGTTCAAGGTGTCGATGGAGATCACTGATAAAAAAGCCCATTAGTGTGATCACTTCACCATCCATCACTCGTAATGCACGATTCAGCATACCATACAGAAATCTCTGTGTTGTATACCACCAAATGGGCGTTTCAGAACGATATATAGATTCCAATTGTTTTACTTCCTTTCGATCAATTTCGTTATGAACAAATTTATCACAATAGTAGTTGACGAATTCTTTTATATGTTTGTCTTCAAATTTTATGGTTAATAATATTTCTTTAATAATCTGCGTGTACATAAATGATGGATCTAATTGATCTAATCTTTTGTCAAATTTCACAAAGCTGATAGATATGGTATTGAGATCATTACGACGAACGATTTGTTTTAATTGTTGACATATATGGAAAATGTCAATAGAAACACTCTTCACCTTCAACCAGTTTTTAGCCCAGCGTTCGTGTCGATTTTGATTGTTACAGAAGATGAAAATAGAATTGATATTGGAGATATCATGTATGCAAGGTACAATATGTTGGCCAAGTGATCCTGAAATGAGTAGATATACTTCGGTGTCGATGCTATCGACAATAAATTCAATGCACTGATCGTTATCAGTAAAAGTATGAACATCACTAACAACAAGTTGAAGTTGTGTAATTATATTCCGATGATCTTGATTACTACTGTGAATATGTTTGTCCAACCAGACCACAGTAATATCTTGTACTTGTTGAATTTTTACACGATTAGGCCTATCTGTTTCGACCGAAGTCACTGTTGTCTGCTTAAGCATATCTGTATTGTTTGTAACGCAAACGCTATAATAATAAGACACGTTGAAAAAATGGTTATTTGTGAGAGCACATTTAAAATCTCTTATCAGCTCGAATTTTGGGAGTCTGTGGAGAGAGCTTTTTTCTTCCTATGTAGATATCTTTGTCTTCGTAAAAAAACCTTAACAGTATGATATGAAAAATAAACACAGTGAAGCTTTAGTCTATGGTGATAGAGATAATAAATTCGAGTATTTTCGGTATGCATTCACCTTAAGAATTCTGCGTAAAACAAAAACGCATTGGCTTATAGATCGAAGGCTTCTTTCATGCTCTCATATATTGTTGTTGATAGTGCATTCGATTCTAATACAAAGAATGGATAATAGCTTCATCATTAAATCTTACGGTTCACACCAATTTGTCGACAAAATAGACAGTAGCGCTTGATATAGAAGTGGTTACATGAAGAATAAACTAGAATGAAGAACAAAGAAATTTCGATTCTGTTACTTGACTTGGATGAATAGACAGATAGCACTTAAGTTTTTGTCATTATTTCAATCGAATAAACAGAGATGGCATTGACCATGAGAATGCCCGAACCAACTCCACGACGGTAATTTTAAATTTTCATAATTAGAAATGCATACATCTTTGATTTCTCGAATTTTATATATTTAGATCACTTGCTGCTCGTCGTCGAACGACTAAACTTCTAACATTTGACGAAGATCTGAATGAAAAAGAAAATTCACTCAATGAAAGTCTTGCAGGACGACGACAATCACGTCTATTCAACACTTCAATCAATGTTGAAGTTGTCAACGATGAACCAGCTCAAACACCAACGCAGTTAGTTGATCTATACCAGAAAACGATTGAATTAGCTGCACAAGGCAAAATCAATATTAAAAATGCCTTTAGCATCCCACTTGTCGAACGTTTACCACAAGTTTTGAACGTAATTGCACTCGATGATAAAGATAATCATCATCTAGGACCGAATTTTGTGAAAGCTGGTTCAGTGATTGATACAAGGTAGGTGATTCAAATCTAAGATCCTTCTTGAACTGATCGTTCTTTGATTTAGTGCTAAAATATACGGTTTTCGTGTGGATGCTTTACATACTGAAACACAAAAGTTAAGTGGCAACATTCTAAATAATGATGAAGAAAAAGCTACAGAGAAAGAAAATTCAGAAGAGAATCGAATTGAGGGTGATCATGAAAACATAGATCCAGAACAAACTGAATCGAAAAAAGCAGCACGTCGCGTGAAAGCTAAAGCAACGTCATTCGTTGCTGCTGATTTATCAAAAATAACTCTTGAACATGAGTTCGAATTTCGTCCATTACAACCACCCAATATGTGTCAATGGCGTGGTGGAATAGGCAAAGATTCCATCTATGCTGAAATGGTATCAAGTACAATGTATTCATCAAGTGATTATCCACTTGTTGATGGTTTTACTGATGTCAATCATCGACCAGAAGAACAACAAAGCAAAATCAACAGTATTCTTGATCATACAGTGACGAAAACGATTGATCTAACAGCATTACGTGATGTTATCAAAACAAATGAAGTACATGATCATATTCTGGGTAAGAATGTCATTCTAGCATATTTTCACGATTTAGCTCTTCTTTTTTTTTCAAAATATCTTCTAGGTAGTCAAACATTACGTGATTTTTCGTTTAATGAAACTCCTAGCAATTCCTTTATTGATACAATTCATGAAAGTTGTCTTGCACAACTCGATGAGAGTAACGACAAATCATATTCAAACAATGACGATGCAGATAATGATGACGCTTACAATCATGATGAATTAGTTCATGCTGCTATCGAAGATCTCAATGATGATCCATCACATTCCAATGAAATATTTAAAAATGCTCTAAATGAATTAAGCAATCCAGATCCATCAAGTATGATGTCCAATCTGGGAAATTACCAATCGCAACAGTCGGTTGAAGTAAGTTCTTCGATATATGAACCATTTCATCTTATTTGATTATAGTTGAGCCTTCCGGCTGCTGATGAAATTCTCTCCGCTTCATTCATGAGCACAGTTTCGTTTGTTGACCAAATGCCACACTTACTCCATAGCAAAGAAGTTCAATCTGAATATTCGTATTTCGATGCAGCTAAGTTAAGATTGTTTGCTGGGCCAAATATATGGAAATACACGAATTTACTCCATGCAACAGCAAAACCCTCAGCAGCCAATGCTTCAACCATTCAACAACAACAAGCACCTGCATCTCGTCATAGACTTCATAGCGAGGGAGTTAATAATGGAATCATTGGTCCTAAACGAAGTGTTCGTGTTGATATATTTAATCCTATGTCCCTCGATCAAATTATGTTGGGTGCGATCAGTGGACGAGACAAGAAAGCCATTGGGATATCTCAAAGTGCACTGGTATTACGATTGAGAGAAAAAAGTCTTAATCAAATGCAGTTAGCCAGAAAATTACGTCCTTTAACTGATTTGACAAATTCGCACAATTTTCCACAATTAAACTTCGAACAATTACATTTAATCAATCGACGTCGCGAACAATCACAAGATCATTTCCAACAACACTACCAACAGGATGATTACGATGATCATGATTTTCCTGTTGCAGTCGAGCATCATGATGCTGATGAAGGTTCTGAGCGTTTATTCAATTGTAATCAAACTAACTGCTATATTCTTTTGACTTTTCAGATGCTCCACTAGCAGAAATGCACTGCGATTTTTCTCGTCCTGTACATTATGAAAAAATTGAATTTGCCAAAGGTTCAACATCGGTTAATGCTAAAATTTTGAAACGTCAAATGATCGAAGAATTCACACGACAAAAGATCGAACATCAACGTACTTTGTCACTTGATTCGAGCACTGCTAGTCAACAATCATCATTTCTCAATACTACTCAAACTGCAATTGAATTTTCCATTCTATGCGAAAATCTTGCTGATCATGGTCATTTATCGGTTCAAACCGATTTAGCGTCAGCATTCTATTGTATGCTAATCAACTGTAATGAAAATAAGTTATACATGAAGAGTAATTCA